CGTGATACCTCTGGAGAAGCTCAAGTCTTCCAGGGCCCTGGCCCTGTCTCCTCCCCAGCCTCATCCCTGCTCAGCTTCCCCGCAGCCGCATGGTCTCCTTGCTGTGGCTGTGGCTGTGGCTGTGGCTGTGCTTGACTGCCTCCTGCCTCCAGGCCTTTGTCCAGGCTGCCTCCGACTTGAGGGCTGTCCCCCAGACAGCGACAACCCCTCAGCTGACTCTGCCACCCCCTCCCCGTCTCTGCTCAGCGTCGTCCTGCTTTTCCTGGCCCCCTATTTAATGTTCACCTGACCCCAGGCCAAACCCCCAACCTTTTCCCCCTTCTTTTTGTTTTCATAGCACTTTTCATCCAACGAATGAGGATGTGTCCTTATGTGTCACCCATGTGGTTTATTGCCTGTTTTTCCCTCCCCTACCTGGGATGTGAGCCTCATGAGGACAGGGAACTTTGTTTTGTGTTTTTTTTTTAAACTCATGTATCCCCATGAGCCTAGCACAGTGCCTGGCACGTAGCCAGCCCTCATTCAGTTCTTGCTGAGTGGCTCCATTCACTCGCCCATCACACCTTTACTCATTCAAGCTGTCGGCCTTCAGGGGGCTGCTTTGTGCCAGGTCCTGGTCTGGATGGGAGAACACAGAGCAGCCACCTTGGCCTTGGGTGCAGAGCGTGCCTGATTTCCAGCGGGGAGGAGGAGGCAGAGCTGGTAACTGGCACAGGCTATGATGGAGGGTGGGTGGGCAGCGGCAACTAATGGCAGGGGCACCATATGAGGTAACTGCTCAGCTGAGATCCCCAAAAAGGAGGCGAGAGATGGCCCTCCAAGCATGTGCAATGGCATGGAGGCAGCCCCAAAAGTGGGCTTTCCAGGACTGGAAGTGGGTCCGTCTGGCTGGGTGCAGCACAGCGGTCCCGGATCCTATGGCAGGGTGGAGGAGTGGGGATGCTGGGAGCTGCCAGTCTGGCTGGTACCTTCAGGTGTGGTAGGGAGGATGGACGGAGGTGGGGCCGGACTCGGGAGGAGTCTGTGAGCAGGGGCCACGGTGGGGAGTGGGGATGCTGGGAGCTGCCTGGCTGGCTGGTACCTTCAGGTGTGGTAGGGAGGATGGAAGGAGGTGGGGCCGGACTCGGGAGGAGTCTGTGAGCAGGGGCCAGGAAGTGGGGGTAAGGATTTGCACTTTCCCATGGGGCGCATGGGCTGTTGGAGGCTTCTGACTTCAGGGAATCTTCCATCAGCAGTGTCCTGGCCCCATGGTATTCCTGAAGGGCTGGCTGGACAGGAGCCACTGTCCGCTCTGTAGATGAGGCCTCTGGGGCCCAGAGAAGGCAAGCTTTGCCTCAAGGCCACCCTGCTGGGACTGGGACCCAGATGTCCTGTCCTGGGCCTGTGCTCTGGGCGCTCACTGGGCTGGGGGCTGCATCAGGTGTCCTGAGGACTCCAGGGTCCTCTTCCCCTTTTTAGCTGGGGACCCAGGGCCCTCAATCACACTCATGGGGCTGCCTGTAGCCTGTTCCCATCATGGCCCATCTGGCTCTTGCTCCAGGCAGAAGTCTTGAAAAGGTGCACTAAGAACGCAGAACCAGGCCAGGCGCGGTGGCTCACGCCTGTAATCCCAGCACTTTGGGAGGCCGAGGTGGGCGGATCATGAGGTCAGGGGATCGAGACCATCCTGGCTAATACGGTGAAACCCCGTCTCCACTAAAAATACAAAAAATTAGCCGGGCATGCTGGTGCGCGCCTGTAGTCCCAGCTACTCAGAGGCTGAGGCAGGAGAATGGCGTGAACCCGGGAGGCGGAGCTTGCAATGAGCCAAGATCGCACCACTGTACACCAGCATGGGCGACAAAGCGAGACTCCGTCTCAAAAAAAAAAAAAAACAAAAAAAACCCACAGAACCAGGTAAGCCCGTCCTGATCCTGAGAGTGAGTGAGAGCCTTGGGGCAACAAGAGACAGGGTGGTTTCATGACTAACTGGGGGTGAGAATCAGGGAGGACTGCCTGGAGGAGGAGGGTTTGGCTGGGGGAAGGTGTGGCAGGAGATGAAGTAGAAAGGATGATTTGAGGCAGATGGTGACTTGCAGGCAGACTCTCCGCTCTTTCTCTGTCCTCTTTGTTTCTGTCACTCCTAGTTTCACTTTCTCCTCTGTCTGCTTTTCTCTTTTCTCTCCCTGCTTCCACCTCCTGTGCCAGGCTCCAGAGGCACTGAGGGTACAGTGTAACTGGCCAACCTGTCTTGGCTAATTACTTGACCGTTGGCATAAAAGGAAGATTAGCCGTGGTCTCTTGAGGTCCTCCCTGGCTCCCTAATCCTGTGGCCCCTCTTCACTGGCGAGGAAGGGATAAAGTCGTTCTAAGTCCTTAATTAGCTAATTATGCTGGGGCTCTGTGGCCCTGGGACTCCCTGGGCCCCAGGGAGGGCTGTGAAGTGCATTGGGGCCCAGCTGGGCAGAGTGAGGCGGGAGGGGAGGAGGGACGGGGCTGCCATTCAGGGAAGCCAGCCGGATAGGTTTGCAGGAGCCTTTCGGAATTTCAATATCCTAGAGAACAAGGGAGATGTAATTAATTGAGCAACAAAGGCCGGCCGGAGGGAACAGCAGGAGTGGGAGTGAAGCAGCCAGGCTGGGACTGTGCGGAGCTGCCTTCTCCAGGCCCTTCTCATCCAGCCTCTTCTCCAGCTGCTACCAGCCCTCTGTGCTTGCCTCCTGCCCCTGTCCTGGCCTCGGGGCTCGCCCATTCTTTTTTGAAGCTCAGAGCTGATCAAGGGCTCTGCCTGCTTAGAAATATGCCAGCAGACCTCCTTGCCCAGACACCCAGCACAGAGCCCCACACTCCTTGGAGCCCCCCGCAACCGCCCTCAGGAATGGTGCCTTTGCCCATGCCAGTCCCTCTGCTGGCCAAGGCTTCACATCCTGGAGTCCAGCTCAGCAAATGTGCCCGGAGCGGCCCCACTCCCCAGTCATGGTCCTTTGGCTCAACACTTGATTCCCTGTCCTCTTGCTGCCAGGCTGTGAGCTCTGGGGGCAGGGGGGGATGGGGGTGGGGAGGGTAAAAAATTGGGTCTTGTTTGTCTTTGGATTCCCCATGTGCCCAATGCCATGCCTGGCATGTAGCTGGCATTTACTATGTGTTTCATGAACGAATGAACGAACGAATGAACGAATGGTGGGGCACTAGAAAGGCCTGCAGTTGGCCTGCTTGAGTCAGGGGATCCATTTGGATGGATTACCCATCCATTTATTGGCCACCCATTCTATTTTCTCCCTTCCCTCTGCTGTAAACGCCTCGCCCCCCGGCTTGGGGGTGTAGCGTGGTGGAGGACTGAGCCCTCACCCTGGCCTGCTCCCGGTGGGATGAAGCCGCCTGCAGGCGAGCCCCACTGTCGTTCCTGAGAGGAGGCTGACCTAGTTTTGTGGAGAGGGAAGATGGGGTGAGCATTAATTATTGATTGGAAATCACTGCACACAGAGTTTGTGATGCAAATTCCAAATAATTATCCTCATTAATAACCACCTCAGGCTCACCCCTGGCATATAAAACCATCTGGACAGGGCCACGGTTCTACTTGTCACCATCCTTCCATCTTCCTCTCTTCAATCTTCCACTCCCTCCCCATGACTTATCACATAATTCGTTCATGAGTAGTCATTGAACAAATGTTAGGTGAGTCTGTCTTCTGGGCCAGGACCTGCTGGGTTCTGGGAATACTGAGGTGACTTAGACAAGGGTCCTGCCCCCAGAACCTTACAACCTGGTGGAAGAGACAGGAAAGTAGACAGACAACTATACATTAGGGCTAGAAGATGAGATATTGGTATGGATGGAACCTCCTAGGTTGTGCAGTATACAACATGCACAACTGTACATGGCAGCCTAGGCTAGGTCAGAGGTGCTGAGATTGCCCAGAGCAGAAGAGAGAAGGATGAACTCTACCTGTGATGATGTAAGAGTCTGGAAGCCTTCGCAGAAAGAGCATTCACAGGGCCGTGGTGGCTGAATAGGGATTTGCCAGGCAGAAGAGAGGAGCAAGGGTGTTCTGGGAAGAGGGAACAGCAAGGATAAAAGCACGGAGGTGTGAAATCTTATGGTATGTTTAGGGAACTTCAAATAATTTGGCACTGCAAGGCATAGGCTGTAAATTGAGAGAGGTATGAAGCTAGAGAGGTGGGCAGTATGGACTCTACAGGATCTCAGGGGGAGGGTGTGTACTCAAAGGTGCCCCACCAACTCTTCACCTTCTTTGGAGCCATGGACTCCTGTGTGGGCCTTCTCTGTAGAGCCTATTAGCAGGCCCTTGGCTCTTCTGAAGGTGACTCTGGGGGCTCTGCCTGGTTCTATCATGCAGTGGGAGTGGTAATTCTGGCTGGTACTGCTGTGTCCTGACATGGTCAAGGGGAACAGTGACTGCCCCAGAGACAAAGGGTATTCAGGACACATTCACTGGGCACGTACTATGACCACTCTATGCAGGTGCTGGGCATACTAAGGTGAACCAGCCTCAGTCCCAGGCCACTGGGACAAGGGGGTTGTGAAAAGACACCTAGATTTTGTGTCAAGACACCTGGTCTAAATCTAGACCCTGCTGCTTCTGAGCTGTGTGACCTAGGGCAAGCAGTTTCAGTTCTTTGAGTCTCCAGCTGCCTTCTCTATAAAATAGAAATGATAGTACCAACCTCACAGAGTTGTCATGAAGACTGAAGATCACATTTGTGCAAGTACACAGAAGAGCACTTAGTACATAAAAGGTGCTCCATAAGTGCTTGCTTGTTCATTCACAATCTAGCGTAAGTGGAGTGGGGCCCTGAGCCATTTCCATGGCTTTTTGGGTGGAGGGGCAGATACAAAGGAGAGGGTGTATCTGGCAGCCACTGAACAGGATGGGAACAGCAAGGAGCTCTTGAATATGCATCCCACTCCCCGTCCCTGTTTCTCTAATCTTGCTCTCACTCTCCTCTCTGGGACCTCTGCTCCCTGTCTGACCATCCCTCCACCTTTCCCCCTCCCAGGTATGCGGATCCTGGTGAACCTGCTCCTGGACACGCTGCCCATGCTGGGGAATGTCCTGCTGCTCTGCTTCTTTGTCTTCTTCATCTTTGGCATCATAGGCGTGCAGCTCTGGGCTGGCCTGCTGCGTAACCGCTGCTTCCTGGAGGAGAATTTCACCATGTGAGTTCAGCCCCTGCCATCCATGCAGCTCCAGGGACTCTTACTAAGACACAGTTTTAACCTTCTGGGTCACTGGGAATCAGGACCAATGGGGTAGAAGCAGCAGAAAAAGAGAGGTCAGGTAGGAGGGGAAAGGGAAGTTAAGACACAAGCAGAAGTGATGCCCAGGAGGAAAAAGAAGACAGAAAACCTGAAGAGCAGGCATAGAACTTGGCTCTCTGCTCACAGCACATTCATTCCCCTTGGTGGCTGAGTCATCCAGGAAGGCTGAGCTCCCATTCGGCCGCCTGTGTATGAAAGCAGGGGGCGGGACACTCCTCCGAGAGAGGATTATTGACACACAAATCAAGCTCTGGCTCTTGGAGGAGCTGGGCTTAGTTGTCTGAAAAATGGGATGCCTATAGAACCCGTGCTTCCGTAGTGGTGGGGGACAAGTGTACGCACACACGTACCTACGCGTATGTGTTTGGACGTGAATATGCATTCATTTCAGATATGCATGGCATGCACCGACTAAGTGCCAGGCCCCAGGGAGTCAGAAACAGGAGAGAATTTTCATCCATTTTCTCACTCGCCTTTTGTTGGGCCTGTGCTCAGGTCTCAGGATGCGGCAAAAGAGGGGATCCCTGCCCTTGAGAAGCGCAGGGCTGGGAGCCGATCCCAGACACCTCTAGTGAGTGCCTCTCAGTCTGTCAATCATGGACCGAGGTGACTGTGGGAGGTGTGGGGATGTGGGGACACTGTACAGGTGAGAGCTAGTTTCTCCCTCTCCGCCTGTCTGGTTGGGGAGAGGGTAGCAGAGCTGGAGGGTGAAAGTTGGGTAGGAACGGGCCCATCCACCCATCGCTGTGGGGGAACAGTAGGGTACTTGGATAGACCACAGCAGGGGCACCTTGGTGGGTAAGGGCCCCAAGTGGGGGTTCAGGAAGGGGGTCTACACTTGTGCCCACTCCCAGAAGGGGCAGGTCCTGAGGCAGGGCCCGGGGCAGTGGGACTGGGGAGAGGCAGCTGCTTTGAAGTCAGGGTAGTATGAGCTCCGCCCCTCTGTCCCACAGGCCTCTTTCCCTGGATCCTTCTGTGGCCGGCCCCTTCTTATTATGTGGGCTCAGCACACCCGACGCCTCCTCCTGGAGGCCTTCCCTCGCCCTCCCTCACCACCCCAGCCCCAAGTTGGCCATCACACAGCCCTGCTGGGTTTTCTTCTTGACTCATCTCTCTGAAATCATCTCCTGTCGGTTCATCCAAGGTCTCTGGAGGCCCCTGGAATGTCAGTTCTCTACTGCAGGGGCACCTGGGGCTTGACTCTTCCCAGGATCTAGAGCAGGACTTGGCACAGGTGCTCCCAACTAATTGTTGAAGGAATGAGTGAGTGAGTGGATGTGTGAGTTCATTTCACCCAGAGGCAGGCTGGGAGCGAGGAATGGCTGTTGGAGATTCTGTGTCCCAGTCCCTGATGTCTCCTTCTCTGTGGTTGTCCCGAGGCCTCATGAGACAGCCCCCAGCCCTGTCTTGGATGCAACAGGGGAGTTGGAGGGAGGATGCCGTGGACGTGCTTGGGCCGTGTTAAAGAGTAACCTGATCTGGTCCACCCCCATCCCCACCCCAGGAAGGGAATAATAAATATAAAGAAATGTCACTGGAGAAAGAACGCCCTAAGGGAAGATGCTGGGTGATTGCCATGCCTCCCTCTGAGCTCCTGGCTTCATTCTCCTAGGGCGGGTGGTCGGTGATGAAGAAGAAAGGAGATGAGTACAGTTCACGCACGTCTGGGTGGGGAGCAAGGCCAGGGTCATTCCAGGTCTGTGACTCCTGTAGAAATAAGGGAGGTTTAGACCTTAACTCACAAGGCTTGTTTAGGACAAGGAGCAGAGAAGTTGGTAACCAAGGTTCACAAAGAGGCAGCAAGATCTCTTCTGGGTGATGAGAAAGCTGGAATTTGAGAAGATCCTAGCTAGGATCTTGGGGAACCAGGCAGGGTCTTGGGCAGGGGAATTCCTCAAAGTCCTCTTTTTGGGCTCTCCCCAGCCAGGCCTGTTGCCTGGAAGCCTCTAGCTCCTGGCACAGTGGGCCCTGTGAGAGGGGCAGAGCTCAGTAGTCAGGGCAGAGAAGGGCCCTTCCTGGGGTGTAACACAAAGAGGTCGGAGTTGGGGCCACAGAAAGCCTCAGCCCAACCTGTCACTATGCAGATGGAGACTGAGGCCTAGATGGGAAGGGACTTACCCAGGGCCAACGGCAAGGCTTCCAGCAAGCATCCAGCCCCTTCCTGGCTGCGTGGGTGTCAGGACACTGTCATTCCACAAACACTCACCAATCCCTTCCAGGGGCCAGGGCCTATGCTGGGCCCTGGGGATGCAGAGACCCTTTATCTTGGCCACTGTCCTCTGTACTGTCTCACTGGGGGGCTGAATGTGTTGAAAATTAGGCCTCAGGGTGCTCTGGGCTTGGCAGAGTGGGGCCTGGAAGCCCAGAGGGGTTACAAGACCAGCCAGGGTGGGGACCAAGGGGGCTTCTCGCTTCACAGAGGACCAGCGGCACTTCTTGCTTCTCAGAGGATGTGACCTTGAGCTGAACCTAAAAGGTTCAAGAGAAATGTCTCCAGGCAGGCGGGGGCACAGGGAGTGGGTGGGGAGGGTATTCCTGATCGAGGCAGCCTCACTGCCACAGTGTGGTGTGTGGGTTAGGAACCCGAGCCCCAGCCTGGCAGTCAGGGTCAAATCCTGCCTCTCTCACTTGGCAGCACTCCTGGGTGTCTACCCAAAAAAGGGATGGCTTATATACATCCCAAGATGTGTACAAGAATATTTATGAGTCATAAGAGCCGGAAAACCAGGAACAACCCCAAACCATCGGCAGAATGAATAAATAAATGGCAGTGTATTCACTCAGCGGAATACTCACAGACGTGACAAAGAAGGAATTACATTTCGCTCTCTTAATGGCGTCCTTTGATGAATGAAACTCTTAGTTGTAATGAAGTCCAGTTTATCAATCATTTTTTTAGCTTTGTTTTTTGTATCCTATTTAAGAAATCTTTTCTAAAGATTGTGAAAATATTTTCCAGTGCTTTCTTTTAGGAACTTTCTCTTTTTAAAAAATCCTTACATGTAGGTCTGTGGTCCATCTCTAGTTTTGTGTATGGTTTGTGGTTAGAGTCAAGATTTTATTTATTTACTTATTTATTTATTTTTTGATGGAATCTCACTCTGTCGCCTAGGCTGGAGTGCAGTGGCATGATGTTGGCTCACTGCCACCTCCTCCTCCCAGGTTCAAGCGATTCTCCTGCCTCAGTCTCCTGGTTAGCTGGGATTACCGGCACATGCCACCACGCTATTAAATGGCTAATTTTTGTATTGTTAGTAGAGATGGGGTTTCGCCATGTTGGCCAAGCTGGTTTTGAACTCCTGACCTTAGGTGATCCACCCACCTTGGCCTCCCAAAGTGTTGGGATTACAGGCATTAGCCACTGCACCCCGTCTCCGTTGGGATCAAGATTTATTGATTTATTTTCAGTGGATAGTCAGTTGTCCCAGGACCAGTGATGGAAAAACTCTACGCTTTCTCCACTGAATTGCAGTGGTGCCTCTATGAGACTCAGGTGACCATATGTATTTGGGTTGGATGTGTACATTTTGATTATTGATGGATGTGCCAAATTGCCCTCTAAGAAGGTTGTACCAATGTATACTCCCACAACAGTGTATGTGAGTGTCTGTTTACATTCATTCTTTTCCTGAATATTACCAACCCTGAAATGTTTGCCATTTGGATGGGTGTAAAATGATCTCATTATTTTTTCTTTGCATTTGGTTATTTTGTTCCATTAGTGTTTCTTCCTATATATTGGCCATTTTTTATTTCTTCTGTGAATTTTTCTGTTCTTGTCTTTTGTCCTTTTTTTTTCGCCTAGTGGGTTATTTTTCCTTTTCCTTATTGAGTTGCGGGAGATTTTCATATGCTTTAGACCAACAGTCCCCAACCTTTTTGGCACCAGGGACCAGTTTCATGGAAGATGATTTTTTCCATGGACCAGAGTTGGGGGATGGTTTTGGGATGAAACTGTTCCACCTCAGATCATCAGGCATTAGATTCTCATAAGGAGTGCACAACCTAGATCCCTTGAGTGTGAAGTTTACAATAGGGTTTGTGCTTCTATGAGAATCTAATGCTACCACTGATCTGACAGAAGGTGGAGCTCAGGCAGTAATGCTCTCTCGCCCAAAACTCATGTCCTCCTGTGTGGCCCCGGGGGTTGGGGACCCCTGCTTTAGATAGTTACCTTTTATCTTCTTTGTATGTTGCAAATACTTCATCCTATGCAACAGCAAACTATGGCCCGTTTTGGTAAATAAAGATTTATTGAAACAGCTATGCCAACTTGTTTATCTATTTCCTGTAACTGTTTGCAGATTACAATGGCAAAGTTGAGTCACTGGGACAGAGGCCAGGTGCTCTGCAGAAAAATATTTGCTAATATAGCCCATTACACAAAAAGTTTGCCTACCTCTGCTTTATCCCAATTTGTTGCTTGTCTTTTTACTTCGTATATTTTGTCTCAGTGAAATTTTACATTAGTATGTAGTCGATCTGGTCGAACTTTTCCTTTACAAAACTTGGATTTTGTGTCTTACCCAGGAAAGTTATACCTATCTTGAGTTAACAAAAAATATTCCATATTTTCTTATAATGTTTTGGTGGTGATGTTCATTGCATTTATGCTTTTTAATCCACTGGAAGTTTACTATTTTTAGTTTTACAATTTGTCTTAATCTACTATATCCAAATATTATTTTTAATGTGTAATCAGTATAAAAATTAAAAATGGGATAATTTATATGTCTAGTTTTGGATACCTGTCTTCAGAAAGTTTATTTTTGTGTATGGTGTGAGGTTGGGATCTAACTAGTATTTCCCAAACAGATAGCAACTATCCTAACACCACTTACTGATGGGCCCCTCCTTTCTCTGCAGGTCTGAAAAGCCATCTCTGTGATATACTAAGTTTCCCTTTGTACATGGGTTTGTCTTTGTACTCTATGGCATTCCCTTAACCTTTCTGTTCGTGTCACAGTGGTACACAGTATTAACAATAGTAGTTGTAGAGCATTTGGCTCTCTTGTAGATCTGGTTTCTGTTTATCTCTCTCCTTTTTAAAACTTGTCTTGACTATTTTGCCATCCAAATAAATCCTAGAGCCATCTGGGCAGGCTCCACAGGCCAAAATGTTGGGATTTTGATTAGGATTGCAGTGAAGCATAGATTAACCCTTCTGGATGGTCAGAGTAGGGATTGTTGTCTGTTTTATAGATAAGGAAATCAAAGTCCAGAGAGGGGCAGCTGGGCTCGGTGGCTCATGCCTGTAATCCCACCACTTTGGGAGGCTGAGCTGGGTGGATCACCTGAGATCAGGAGTTTGAGAACATCCTGACCAATATGGTGAAACCTTGTCTCTACTAAAAATACAAAAATTAGCCAGGTGTGGTGGCATGCACCTATAGTCCCATCTACTCAGGAGGCTGAGACAGAAGAATTGCTTGAACCAGGGAGGCGGAGGTTACGGTGAGCCAAGATCTCACCACTGCACCCCAGCTTGGGTGACAGAGGAAGACTTGGTCTAAAAAAAAAAAAAAAAAGAAACAAAGTCCAGAGAGAGGAGGTGATCTGCCCAGGATCACTTAGATGCAAGTGGGTGGAGCAGATGGAGGATTTACCCCTCATCTGCTGGATTGGTAAAAGCCAGTGCTTGTTTATTGAGCATCTGCTCTGTCTGTGTGAACCCAACAGTGTGTGTGGCCTGGGGATGCTGAAATGTCCAGCCTCCCAGGGGAGTTGGGGGCATCTCCCCCAGGAGCCATAATGAAGGTGTGTGCAAGGCACAGTGAGGCTCCCCAGAGGAGGGGACCACAGTGGGTCAGTGGGGGTTTTCTTGGCCATAACAGAGGTGGGGAATGGTGACCACACAGGGGAACAGCATGTGCCAAGGCCTGAAGCAGTGACAAGGCCTTCTGGGCCATCCTGCCATGCTGTATGGCCTCTCCCTTCCTGATCCTCCTGGCAGTGACCCCTCCCCTTTCCCTCTTTTACCCTCGCCTGTGGACAGACAAGGGGATGTGGCCTTGCCCCCATACTACCAGCCGGAGGAGGACGATGAGATGCCCTTCATCTGCTCCCTGTCGGGGGACAATGGGATCATGGGCTGCCATGAGATCCCTCCGCTCAAGGAGCAGGGCCGTGAGTGCTGCCTGTCCAAGGACGACGTCTATGACTTTGGGGCGGGGCGCCAGGACCTCAACGCCAGCGGCCTCTGTGTCAACTGGAACCGTTACTACAATGTGTGCCGCACGGGCAGCGCCAACCCCCACAAGGGTGCCATCAACTTTGACAACATTGGTTACGCTTGGATTGTCATCTTCCAGGTGAGGCTGCTCAGGCCTGGGGCCAACCTGGTCCTAGAGTGGGCAGCTCTGCCTGGTGGGCAGGGCTCTGTGCTAGGCATTTGCCACCCCCTATCTCACTGAAACCTGCCCAGCTTGCTGGCAGAATAGGCATTATCGTGCCCATTTTATAGACAGAGAACCCAAGGTTCAAAGAAAGGAAGCAAGCTAATTGACCACAGATGATGTATTAAATTGCAAAACTAGGATCTTAACTCAGCTCTGGGTGACCCCAAAGCCTGAGCTCTTTGCAGAGCCCCAGGTTGCCTTGGGCCATATGGATCCCAGCAGGGAGGGCTGTTCAGAGAGGAGAGGCAGGATTCAAGCTCTGTTGGAGGGATTGGCTGACCAAGGCCAGGATCATGGGGTAGGAGGACATTCCCGGTGGGGACAGCCTGAGCAAAATTCTGGTGCAGGGAGTGCCAAGTAGCTAATCTGGAGTCAGTAAGAAATGTTTCTCGCCTTGTCACCCAGTGCACATAATACACACACATTCACAAAGCAGCGCTAGCCTCATGGTGTGCAAAGCGCTTGTTGCATGGCCCCACTGCACTGATTGTCCTGTCAGCCTACAGTCTGCAGAGGATAGGCTGCGGTTTGTGTAGGGAAGGAACTAGGGCAGTGGACCTTGGGTGTATTGCTTGGCCTCTCTGTGCCTCAGTTTTCTCATCTTTAAAATGGGGTAGTAACAGCCCCCCTCACCTTGGGTGCCTGTTAAGAATAAAGCAGATGGCGCTCTCAGGGCAGCCAGCCCTGTGTGCAGAGAGTGCTGAGTAGAGGTTACCTTTCTGCTGTCCTGGGAAAGAAGGGGCAGGGGCAGACGGGGGAGCTGGGAATTCCCTGAGGGAGTGGTGGGAGGGCCGAACTCTGCTGCCTCCGCTTCCCTGCGCTGCCTCCACTGCCCTGTGCTGCCCTGCACTGCCCTCCGCTGCCCTAGGCATTTTGCTCTGGGGGAGCGTCAGGATCATTTGTTCAGAGCTGCAGGGTGTGAGGTGACGGCAACAACTGTGTTTTGGAACTGTCTGCACAGGAGAGTGGGTGGCTGCTCTGGGGGTCCCACTCTGTGCATTTGCCAGAAGCCAGCAAGGACCTACAGTTTGTCTTTCCCAAGGCTGCTCCATCCCCCAGTCTGGGAAGGAGTCGGGGTGGGGTGGGTGGTGACAGAGTCACACCAGCCTCATCACAGTGCATATCACCAGGCTCCACCGAGCTGCACCCCAGCCCTGCCAGGTGGGCTCCCCACGTACAGAAGCAGCAGCTGAGGCTCAAAGAGGGTGGGTAGCCCAGCTGATAAGCTGGAGCAGGGGCAGGCTCCCTGCTTTTCCAGCCCTCCCGCTGGTGTGGTAGATCGGAAGGACCAAGGTTCAAATCCTGGCTCCACCCCTTCCTGGCTATGCGACAGTGGGCAAGTGCCTTCCCCTCGCTGAGCCTCAGTTTCCTCACCTGTATAATGTGATGTGCCTTGTCCAGCCCCTGTGAGAGGGACTCGAGGCAGCACGTGTGATGCGTTCTGGCACACAGTAGGGCCTCTGTGTGGGGTGCTGCCCGGGCTACGGGCTTTCTGATGGGCCAGCCCTCTCTTTCTCTCTCCTGCGCGCGGCAGGTGATCACTCTGGAAGGCTGGGTGGAGATCATGTACTATGTGATGGATGCTCACTCCTTCTACAACTTCATCTACTTCATCCTGCTTATCATAGTAAGTGTCAGGGAGCCTGGGCTCCTAGGCGCGCTCAGAACCTGAGGAGGGAGGGTCTTTGGGAATCCCCAGGGAGCCCCTCAGAGCGAGGCAAGCCGAGATGAGGGAGCAGGAGGGGCTGTTTCTCAGCACCACCGGGCAGCAGGTGATTGAAGGGGCTCATCAGGGGTGGCTGTCGGAAGCATCCATCACCTTCAATTGCTGTCATTTCTCATGTCTGGGCACTTACTTCCCCACCGATGCTCTGCTCCTGTCTCTCTGCGTTGTATCTCTGGGATACACTCTTTGCATGACCTGAGCCCGAGGTGCAGCCTCAGACTGGAGGCTTCAGAAGGGCTTCCAGCTCATGCCTGTTTTCCTGGACAGGGAAGACAAGATGCCTGGAGACTGAGCAGGGTTTGGAGGGAGGTCGCCTGATGGTGATCTGGTGGAACTCCCTGAAATTCTCAGAGGGACTCCCATCTCTTGGGCAGCCCTGCCTTGTTGGGGTAACCTGGAGATGGAGGTGGGCCCACCTGCCTCTTCCTGGCCAGCCCCTCTTGCCTGCACCCCCACACAGTCTCCCCAGGGTGAGCTCATCCACCTCGTCATGCCTGACTGCAGCTTCAGCACAGCACAGTCCCCAAAATGTCAAGGTGATTGACTCCCAGGAGCCGCTGCTGAATCCTGCTGTTGCGAGGCTGGGTTCTCTGGCTTCCTGGTGGTGGGAGAGGGCACACTTGACCCTCCAGGGCAGTGCCCCATCCTGGGCTGGCAGGACCTTGACCTGGGGACCCAGGCCAGACCGGCAGGTGACCGGAGACACCTGCTGTTGTCTAAGCTCCAGTGCTTTCTTGGGGAGGCTGGAGCCTTGGACCTAGAGGAGATGCCCCAGATAAAAGGAGAGGGACCAGATATTCAGCATTGCCATCCATGGCCTTGCATACTCATTCACTAGAACATTCAGGAAGCCCACACTGTACCAGGCCCTGAGCCAAGTGCTAGGAACAGAGCAGTGAGTAAGGCTCAGCCCCTGTCCTCAAGGCGCTCACAGTCTCGTGAGAAGATGGGCTGACAGCAGTCAGTGACTATACAGCATCTTAGGCGCCATGATAGAAGGGAGCCCAGAGAAGGCTCCCAATCCAGTCTGGAGGAGGGATGGGGAGGTGGGAGGCTTCTTGGAGGAGGTGATGCCAGAATTGAGCCGTAAAGACTCAGGAGGTCAGCAGGGAAAGAGCCTCTTGGGCGGGGGTGGCTCACAGAGCCCCTGAAGCTGGTCGGGATACTGCAGTGTGGGAGCCACAAGCCACTGAGGTTGCAGGAGGAGACTCCGGTTCCCAGGAGGGGCTAGAGGATGCTCCATCTGCTCTTGCTGTGGGGTTCAGGGTGGCTAAGGGTGCGGATGGGGTAAAGCGCAATGCTCCCCAAGCTCATTGTGAAATGGGGGACAGTGACAGCACCTTGCTCCTGGGCTCTCAGGAGGGTTAGGTGAGACAGAGCCTGAAGCCTGCATGCCCTTGGCACACAGTGAGTGCTCAGTACATGTGCTCTGCTACTATTACGGCTGCTGCTGTCGGGTCTCAGGCAGCCCTGTCACAGGACAATCTGCTACTATTGTGGCTGCTGCTGTCGGGTCTCAGGCGGCCCTGTCACAGGACAAGGAGTGCTGGCGAGAGGCTGAAAGGGCTGAATTTTTCCAGGCGCTGGGAAGGGTTCACAAAGCAAAGTCAGGACAAATGCGCTTCTATGTCACCTGCAGGGTCACCTCCCGTGAGGACCCTGAACCCCAGAAAGGTGAGGGGTACTTGGCCTTCAAGCCCAGGCTCTAGTACTCCTTTACATTTTTATTTTTATTATTTTTATTTTATTTTAGAGACAAGGTCTGGCTCTGTCGCCCAGGCTGAAGTGCTGTGGTGCAATCATAGCTCACTGCAGCCTTGATCTCCTGGGCTCAAGCGATCGTCCCCTCTCAGCCTCCTGAGTAGCTGGGACTATGGGCACGCACCACCATGCCTGGCTAATTTTTAAATTTTTTTTTGAGACAGGGTCTTGCTATGTTTCTTAGGCTGATCTCAAACTCCTGGACTCAAGTGATCCTCCTGCCTTGGCTTCCCAAAGAACTGGGATTACAGGCGTGAGCCACGGCCCCGGGCCCCCAGTGCTCTTTCTTTCTTGTCTTTTTTTTTTTTTTTTTTTTTTTTAAGACGGAGTCTTGCTCTTGTTGCCCAGGCTGGAGTGCAATGGCCTGATCTCGGCTCACTGCAACCTCTGCCTTCCGGGTTCAAGTGATTCTCCTACCTCAGCTTCCTGAGTAGCTGGGATTACAGGTACACACCACCACGCCCGGCTAATTTTTGTATTTTTAGTAGAGACGGGGTTTCACCATGTTAGCCAGGCTGGTCTCGAACTCCTGACTTCAAGTGAATCACCCACTTCGGCCTTCCAAAGTGTTGGGATTACAGGCATGAGCCACCGCACCCAGCCTCCTTCTGACTTGAAAAGTTCTTGGCTCATCAGGTCTGAGCCTTCTGTTTTACAGATGGGGAAGTGGAGGCCGGGAGGGGATGGAGGCCTGCCTGGGTCGCCCAGGGCAGCAGCTGCAGAGGCAGAGGCGGGTAGGAGCCTGACAAATGTGTGGTCCCAGAGGGCAGGGCCCAGCCCTCTCTTCCTGCGACCCTCACACAGGCCTGGTGCAGGGCAGCTCCCCAGGAAGTGCTTGTGGACGAGGTGACTGAGACAAGGATGGGAGGCCATCTTCTTACCCGATAGGCAGGGGATTTTCCCAGAGTCCTCTGGGCCAGTAACCCTCCCAGACCCTAGCTCCTCAATCGTCGTTGATGAGGCTGCAGCCGGGGAGAGCCTCCTGGCAGGCACCTCCGAGGGGGATGAAAGCTATCTGCTCTGGCTGGCTGGCAGCCAAGTTCACTCCCAGGCTCAGCAAATGCTGGGGAGGGGGCTGTGCCCTGAAAGCCTGGAAACTGGAGAGGAGCCCCACTCCTGGAGCCATCAGGCCATGAGGAGATGGGATCCCCAGTGCCAACCGGGGCAGCCTCTCCCCCTCCATTTCCTGTAAGCACAAATAAAGCCACGTGAAAACCCCGAGGGACCTTCTCTTTTCTCGTCTGGGGTCCCAGCTGAGGCCAGATTCTGGCCAGAGAGAAGGCAGGGCTGGGCAAGGACTCAGGGCCTGGGAAAGCCGAAACGGGCTGTGGCCTCCCTCCCTGGGCTCAGTGCAGATGTCCCAGGCGGATGGGGGCCAGGCCAGGGCCTAGGGGTGTGAGGGGAGCTGGGCTTTGAAGCAGATCCCAGTCGGGCCTGGGGAGCTGCCTAGGCCGTCGCCTTCTCCTGGAGCGAGGCCTCAGCGATCTTTTCCTGTCCCCATCTGTGTCTGTGCCTGTGTCTCTCTGGGCCCCTCCACCTCTCCTGCCTCTTTCCCTGTCTCCACTCATCCCCTGCATCTCCCCTCCCTTGTGTCTGTCCTCTCTGAGCCTGTCTCATTTTCTTTGTCATTGTGTCTGTGTACCTCGCTGTCTCTTTCTACCTACCCCTACTCTGGCCTCTGTGTCTCTGGTTGGTCCCTGCCCCTCCTCCTTGCTTAATTTCTGCCTCTGTACCTGCATCTCCATCTCTGTCTCCATCTCCCCATCTCCCATCTCCCTCTGCCTCCCTCTCCCCATGTCTCCCTGCTGTCCCCACCCCATGACTGCCTCTCTCACCCCTCTGTCCCCTCCATCCGTGTCCCTGTCCCTATCCTCTCCTCCCGTTGGTCACAGGTGGGCTCCTTCTTCATGATCAACCTGTGCCTCGTTGTCATAGCGACCCAGTTCTCGGAGACCAAGCAACGGGAGCACCGGCTGATGCTGGAACAGCGGCAGCGCTACCTGTCCTCCAGTACGGTGGCCAGCTACGCCGAGCCTGGCGACTGCTACGAGGAGATCTTCCAGTATGTCTGCCACATCCTGCGCAAGGCCAAGCGCCGCGCCCTGGGCCTCTACCAGGCCCTGCAGAGCCGGCGCCAGGCTCTGGGCCCGGAGGCCCCGGCGCCCGCCAAACCTGGGCCCCATGCCAAGGAGCCCCGGCACTACAGTAAGTGGCCCTGCATCCGACACGGCACTCAGGCACTGCATGCCAAGTGTCGCTCCTTTCTAGCACGTCCAGCAGGCCCAGCAGCCTCCACATTCCAGGTCTTCACTTTGTGCTCAAGTGTTTCCTTCACAGCCCCCAGGGAGCTGTGTCCCCATCTCTGCCTGCCCTCTCCTGGCACCTGTCAGAGTCTGTACTGGACTGGGCCTGGTGCTGGGTGGAACTCAGCCTTTCCCTGGAGGCATTCGATCCCTGTGTGTGTGGAGACAGCAGCTCTGCCCCGGGAGCCACACTTGAGAGGAATGAACAAGTGTCTGTCCTCAGTCTTGGGAAGCTCAAATTCTTCCCCCGCTGCAGCCCACATCACTCCCTTCTCTGGGTTCCTTCTGCTGTCCCCTGCTTTCCAGCACACCCGAGCAATGACCCTGGGTGCCTGGCACAAAGGGGCTGTGGGTCTGCCCCCTCAAAGCTGTGGCATGTTGGGGACTCATGCCACCCTGTGCTCTGTGCTTGCCCTGGGGCTGTGGGAGTTACACTTTTGCTTTTTGTTGTTGTTGTTGTTGAGACAGGGTCACCGAGGGAGTACAGTGACACCAACACAGCTTACTGCAACCTCGATCTCCTAGACTTAAGCCATCCTGCTGCGTCAGCCTTCAGAGTAGCTGGGACTATAGGCGTGCCCCCCCATGCCCGGCTAATTTTTAATTTTTTTTTTTTTTGTAAAGACAGGTCTCCCTGTGTTGCCCAGGCTGGTCTCAAACTCTTGGGCTCATGTGATCCTCCCGCCTTGGCCTCCCAAAGTGCTGGGATTACAGGCATGAGCCACTGCCCCTGGCCAAGGTTATGCTGTTAGGCTTGGAAGGGGCTGCCCTGTTGGTTGCCTCATCTGTTCCAGGAAACAGTCCTGAGAAAGGAGCAGATAGTAATATTATCCCCACTTTTCAGATGGGAAGACTAAGGGTCAGGGAGATGAAGGGAGCATCTCAGAAGCCGGCATTGCCAGGCTTTGCAGGGGCCTGCCTCCCCTGGAAATGATCACTCGGGAAGAGGCAAGCCAGGGCCACAGAGGTGGGCCCTGCCCCCAGCCCCCAGCCCCAGTGCCACTTCTCCCAGTTGGCGCCGAGAAGGAAGTCAGCAGGCACGGGGACTGTGCTTGAGCAGACGCGGGACTCTGCAGGCCTGTCTCCTGCCTGTAAAGTGAGGACAGGGGCCCCCAGCACTCAGCGTCAGCAGCGGGAGTCAGCCACCCCAGACCCTGCTCTGGAAAGCCCAGTCCTTCCAGCCTTCATGGTCTGGGAATCGATTCTTGGGAGGCGAGCAGAAGAATGCACGCTCAGAGCTGCCGCCCACCCATCCTTGGGTGCCAGCCGTCCAGGCGTGGGCTTGGAGGAGGCCCCAGGTGGCCCGTGGGCAGGCCCGGCATGCGGATACAGGAGCCGGGGCCAGGCAAGGCTGGCACCGGTGTTGCTGGAGGACGTGGGGGAGAAGCGTTCACTCCAACAGGCTTCCCGCGGCCGCCTAGCCCCCTCTCCTGGCACCTGTGCCCCCTTGCCCCTGCGCCTCCCCTCTGCCCTGGAAAATGAGAGTTGGCAGCCGCCCCATGTCCAGGTGGGAGCAGTGAGCCGGTGCGGGGAAGGGCTTTGGCCTGTCCTCCGGGGTGAGATGGGACTGGCCGCTGGGCTCCTGGCTGCCTGCTCCGGCTCCAGAGGCGGGATGAGTCAGGGAAGGGCGTTGGCCTGTCCTCCGGGGTGAGGTGGGACTGGCCGCTGGGCTCCTGGCTGCCTGCTCCGGCTCCAGAGGTGGGAACGAGTCAGGGGTGCTTATTTGGGGCTTGGGAGGCAGCTGGAGGCAAGTGTGGAAATGAAGGGCAGGTGTGACATGCTTTTCTTTCCCTTTCATGTTACTTTTTTGGCTTACACAAGCAAAATGTGTTTATTCTAGGAATACACAGGAAAACACAAAGAAGAAATTAAACCAGGCAGAGAAAGGCCTCTCTGCCACCCCTTTGAGATGGTTCACAGATCACAGAACGCAGTCCAGGGCCAGCCCAGGCTTCTCCTGTGATTCTGGGGCAGCAAAGGAATGAAGTTCCCTCTTCCCAGCGGGCCTTCCTGCCCGCTGCCCCCACCTCCACCCCTTGTGTGGAGGGAAGTCCCAGGGGCTTCTGGAGTGAGGGTCCGCCCCTGCCCCAGGGCTCCATGCCTCCTCCCCTCCCTGGGAAACAAACCTCCCCTCCTCACTCCCCACCTGCTGTACGGACAGGAAACTTGAGAACACCAAGGCCACCGTGGCCTCCTCTGAGGGGGCCCGCCCCCGCATTGGCCTGGCTCTTTCAGAATCACATTTAGTTCCCAAGCTGCGTGACTGGGGCTCTGAGTCTGTCCTGTGCTGACCGAGGGCCTGGGCCAGGAGGGATGGCCGGTCAGCATGGACACGTGCCCTGCACCGTGCTGGGCCCATCATGTGCCTTAAGGGAGATAATCCTCCTATAGCCTGCATGGTGGGCGTTCCTGCCCCCACATCTACAACAGGGGTGGACAAAGCTCAGAGAGCTGCAGCCGCTTCCCCGGGGGCGCCCCGCCCTTCCAGGCTGGGTCAGCTGGTTCCAGGCAGACCTGTGGGCCTGGGAGCCGAACGCACTCGGATGTGTCCCCGGGTGGATTGGACCTGGTGTGGGCAACAACTCTACACCCCTCCCATTTGCTTTTCAGAGCTGTGCCCGCGACATAGCCCCCTGGACGCGACGCCCCACACCCTGGTGCAGCCCATCCCCGCCACGCTGGCCTCTGACCCCGCCAGCTGCCCTTGCTGCCAACATGAGGCCGGCCGGCGGCCCTCAGGCCTGGGCAGCACCGACTCGGGCCAGGAGGGTTCGGGCTCCGGGAGCTCTGCTGGTGGCGAGGACGAGGCAGATGGGGACGGGACCCGGAGCAGCGAGGACAGAGCCTCCTCGGAACTGGGGAAGGAGGAGGAGGAGGAGCAGCAGGCGGATGGGGCGGTCTGGCTGTGCGGGGACGTGTGGCGGGAGACGCGAGCCAAGCTGCGCGGCATCGTGGACAGCAAGTACTTCAACCGGGGCATCATGATGGCCATCCTGGTCAACACCGTCAGCATGGGCATCGAGCACCACGAGCAGGCCAGTGCAGCGCAGCCAGGCTGGGCCCGCAGGGGAGGTGTGAGGGCCCCAGGACCCTGGCCAGGCCTGGGCAGCCCCATGCATGTGCCTCGGTTTGTGTATCTGTCCCCTGAGAAGTGCTGGGCTGAGCTGGGTCCAGTACATCCATGCGACCTTACTGCCCAGCCAGGGCCAAGCTCAGAGGAGGGAAAGGCTGGGGTGTCTGCTGAATGAATGATGAGTGAACGAGTGAAGCTGGCTAGGACTGGGCCTCTCTGGGACTCTTTTCCTCCTGAGCTGCTCGGCCTGGACACCAAGGCAACCACAGCGCATCCCCTGCCAGTCCCTGCAAATCTGACTTCTATTCACCTCTCCACCTGAGCCCTTCTGTTTTCTTCTTTAAAAAAAAAAAATTAACAAAAAAAAAAGAGAGACAGGGTCTTGCTCTGCTGCCCAGGCTGGAGTGCAGTGGCACGATCAAGCAATACTGCCTCTTCAGCCTCCCAAGTAGCTGGGACTACAGGCGCATGCCACCAAGCCTGGCCACCTGGGCCCTTCTGTCCATTCTCCCCCAAACAGCTGGGGTGATTTTCCCAGAGGGCCAGTCTGGTTGGGCTCTTCCCTGCCTCAAAACTTCTGTTGCTCCTCATTGCCCTCAGGACAAAATCCAGACCTTTCCACTACCCTCAAGGCCTTTGTCTCTATCACAACGTCCCTTCACCAGGCCAGGGTGTCCTGTCCTCTCCAGTGACTCCACCCCATATAGCCCCATGGCGCTGAGGGCGAGTGGCCCCGTGGTTGTCCTGTGTGTCCTCTCTGCATGTCCCTCCTGTGTGCTGGGAGCAGGGAGGACAAGGAGGAGTGGGTGCTGAGCTGAACAGTGTGCCCCAGGCCCCTGGGCCATCATGGGGCTGGCTGGCTCCAGGGATAGTACACAGGGGAGGGGACAGCTTCTGGGAGGTGGTGGGAGCTGGGGGATGATGTGTGTGTGAGGAGAGCAGGGCCTCCGTGGGGATGCGGGAGGGAGGGGCAGTGGGGTTAGCACGGATGCCTCAGTCCACAGGCACCACCCAGGGATGACAGCCTGGATGGCAGGTCTGGTCCTGCCCCATTTGGAAAAACACCATTTTCCGGCTCCTGCCATCCACCAGTCCCTGGATGGGGTGGCTCCCTGAACCCACTCCCCAGCTATGCGAAGGATCCCACCTAGTAGCTGGCGACCCTGAGGCCCAACGGGGGGGATGTCACTGGCCCGAGGTCCCGCCGCCAGCTGGGGGCCAGGTTTGAACCCACTTCTTTCTGCGGCAAGACTGACGCTCCGGGTGGGCTGGGGATTTCGACGTTCTCTTTGCTTCCCTGCGGCCTTCCTTCTGCGGAGGCCCTGCATGCCGCACCCCATGGAGTCGCACTTGCACCTCCCTCTTCGTTAGCTCACCAAGCACAGGCTCCATTCAATTTACTTAAATGGGACCCCCGGGGCTGCCTTGACACTCTATTTGGAGCTGCTGGTTTGCCAGCCATTCTGGCTTAATTAAAAAGGTCTCTGGGGAGGGCTGGCGGGAGGGCTCTCTGCAGGGGGAAAGCTGGTGAGACAGGGGCCCCAGGACCCCCTTGCTTGGAGTCCTGCCTCTGGCCAGTGCCTGGCCCAGGCCTGCAGAGGAGCAGCATTCCTGCCGAAAGCCCCACAAGGAGTGAGTACTGTAGGGCTTGCTCCAGTCTCCAAGTGGGGCAGCATCGAGGGGGCCTGCACAGCTCTGCTACACTCAAGCCCTGGCACTGTCCTTGCCAGGGGCTCGCTCGAGCCAGCTGGTGAGGGCCAATTTCCAGACGCTCGGGAATTTTGCAAGCCAGTGATGAAAGAGTTGGGCGCTTGAAATTGGCCGTGGAGGGAGTATTTACACCATGGAAAATGGCAGATGTTACACATCAGGGCTGTTTGCAGAGGCCTCTTTGCCAGGGTACAGCTGGTCCCTGCCTTTTCACCCACCCCATCCACATCAACACCACGGCCAGGGCAGGTCCAGCCTCAGGCCAGGCCATGGTCCCTGTCCAAGCTTCCTCAGGATCTGCCTCTCTGGCCTGTCCTGCCTCTCTCCTTCTGCCACATTTGTTTGAACATGGTTTCTAACCTCGAATCTGGTAGAGCCATTTTTTTTTTTTTTGAGATGGAGTCTCACTGTGTCATCTAGGCTGGAGTGCAGTGGTGTGATCTGGCTTCACTGCAACCTCCGCCTCCTGGGTTCAAGCAATTCTCCAGGCGTGTGCCACCCCTCCCAGCTAATTTTTAGTAGAGACGGGGTTTTGTCATGTTGGCCAGGCTGGTCTTGAACTCCTGACCTCGGGTGATCTGCCTGCCTCAACCTCCCAAAGTGCTGGGATTACGGGCGTGAGCCACTGCGCCCAGCCAGGTGGAGCCTCTTCTGGGAGCAGCAGGCTTCATGTGGCTCCCTGACCAGGCTGAGAGATGAGAAACGCTGTTCCCACTGTGCGTCTCCTGTCTGGTCACAGGGAACACCTGATTTCCTCATCTACTAAGCAGGTGTCTTTCCCTCATAGGGACAGGCCACGATTTACAGAGTGTGTGCTGCAGGCCAGGCCCTGTGCCAGCATGGTGCCAGTGAGTCCAGCCGCCCTCAAGGCAGGGATTATTACCTCACCCCTCTCGTACCCTTGGAAGGCTGCTGCTCAGGGAGGCAAATAGATCATACAACGTTTGGGTTTCAGTCCTGGTTCTGGCCGGGCTTGGTGGCTCATGCCTGTAATCCCAGCACTTTGGGAGGCTGTGGCAAGAGAATCACTTGAGCCCAGGAGTTCAAGACCAGCTTGGGCAACAGAGTAGGACCCCGTTTCTACAAAAAATAAAAAAATTAACCAAGTGTGGTGGTGCATGTCTGTAGTCCCATCTACTTGGGAGGCTGAGGTGGTGGGAGGTTTGCTTGAATCCAGGAATTTGAGGCTACAGTGATGGGTGATCTTGCCACTGTATTCCAGCCTGGACAACAGAGCAAGACCCTATATCAGAACAAACAAAAAATTCCACATCAGCCAAACAAACCAATCCTGGTTCTGCTGTTGACTGGCAGGGTGGCCTGGAGTGTATCACTTGCCTTCCTCACCTGGCACCTCCCATCTGTAAATGGGTGCACGGATCCCCCCACACAGTGGCTGAGAGGGTTGACTGCATTGTGGGTGCACGGATCCCCCCACACGGTGGCTAGGGGGGTCGACTGCATTGAGAACCTGGTACTTAGTAGGTGCTCATTGATGAGTCACTGCTTCAGAGTCTTGTCTGAGCCTCACACCACCACCCCGGGGTGCGTTTACCATCCTCTGTCTGGAGCCTCAAAAAATTAATTAAAGTAACATTGAGGAGGAGGATGAGTCTCTGAAATGTCCTTCATAAAGCAGCTCCAGTGGCAGCCATGGTTGCCCAGGCTCTGCGCAGGGCTTGACAGTGGGCCCGCTGGTATTTTTGCTCGACTCCCTTGGCTCCCAGACACTGCTCTGCGGGAAATGCTCCACCCCCATGTTTATTCTGAGCAGCCCTGTCTGAGGTGGTGCTCGCAGAGAGAGGTGGCCCAGGGCTTCCAAGGGGGGTGCAGGGAGAGAAGGAGAGAAGGAGAGGGTGGGTGAACTCCCTCAGCCCTTCTCTACAGGGGAGGCAGCATGGGAGGCCTTGCCCTATACCCCATTCTGGCTGGCAGGGAGCTCTGTGACACTGAGGGGCAGGAGGCAAGGGTGTGACATCTGTGAAGTGGAGCAGAGTGACCCTGGGCCTGGTCACAGGGTGCTCGAATGACAGGTTAGATTGCAGGCACTCAAGCCTTTAGGGTGGCCACTGCTGCTGGAATCATGGGGGCATTACCCAGAGAACAGCTTACTCATCGAGGTTCCTCATGGCAGCAGATGCTGTTTCTTGCAGGGCCTGGCCTAGAAGGAGGGGATGGGTGAGGTGGGGGTCGGCCAGGCAGGGGTCTGTGTGTGACTCATGAAGTGGTGAAATGGGGCTGAAATTCCCACCTCTGGGTAGCCCAGGCTGTGTGACGGGCAGGTGGGACAGGTCAGCCGGGGTGGCCAGGCTTCTCCAGGGAGGCCTGATTCCTTCATCGTCACCGCTGTCATTGCATCACTGTTCTTCCTGGTGTGATCCTCCAGCAGCCTTGTGGGGCAGACTGGGGGAGCATCTTATCCCCACCAAGCAGATGGGGAAACCGAGGCCCAGTAAGGTAGATGGCTTGCCCAAAGTGCCAGGGTGAGCAGCGACAGAGCCGGGCTCCCAGAGGTTGAGGTCAGCTGTGGACAGTTGAACTGGAGGAAGGCATTGCTCGTAGGAGCAGCGTCTGTCTCAGCTTCTCTCTCTCCTGCACACACCTGTGCAGGCCCTGACTCCTCCTGAGCTGGGCAGGGCTGCCCTGCAGCCCCATGTCCTGGAGCTGGAGGCTAACCACCAAGTTGGAGAACAAAAAACAGAGGGTTGGGGAGCATGGGCAGCAGGGCAGGGTGTGGGGAGCCTCCTGGGTAGGGCTGACCCCAGGCCAGGCTATAGTTACTGGCCCCAGCTCCCAGGGGACTGCATTCAAGGCCTCTGAATCGGTGGCTGGATCGAAGCTGGCTTTATTCTCCCTTCAGCAGCCCCTGACGTGTCAAGTCACTGCCAACCCAGGTCTGGGGTGACTCTGGGAAGTGAAGGATGGAGTGGCTTAGTGGCTGACATTCCAGCTCTATAGGGGCACAAGGGAGAGAGACACCAACATGGACAGCAGTCACAGAAGGCTTCCTGGAGGTGATGGCACTGGTGACAGATCCTGAAGGATGACTAGGAGTTCATCAGTGAGACAGAGGGAGAGGGACCAGGAACATAGTTATCCCCCCAAAGGACCCCAAGTCCTCGAGAAGGATGTGTACAAGGGGCAGTGCAGACGGTGCAGGAGGCCAGGAGGGCTATTCATTCAGGAGGACCTTGGAGCCGGTTTTATCCTTAGGGCAATGAGGAGCCCAGAAAGGCTTGCAAGCAAATGACACATCTGTGCTGAACTGGGGCCTCACCAGAAAAGCGGGGCCGGTGAAGGCACCTGGGCCATGGAGGTGGCGATGTGGCCAGAGGGAGGAGACCTAGGTTTGAGATCTGACTTCAACACAGCCTGGCCATGACCCTGGGCAGTCAGTTCTCTTTGAGTCTCAGGCTCCCTGTCTGTAAAATGGGGACAATACAGGCGTGAGGTTGAGAGGAGATAATGCCTGGGGCGTGCTCAGCACACCCGGCCCATGGGAGGGGCCTCATCAATGCTAGCTGCCATTATTATGATGGGGATGGCGCTGGGCTGGAGGGCTTCCCGGTGGCCAGCTGACTTCTGCACACCCTTATCTACCCCTACAGCAACGGCAGAGGCTGGGCAGCCTGGTGCCACCTGAATCTGCGTCAGGCAGGGACTTGCAGGCTCCCGCTGCTGCCCCCTACCTCCTGCCTCCAGCTAAACCTGGTTTTCAGCCCTTCAGCACCTCCGCCTTCGCTGGGTGCTCTTCGCCACCTCCAGCAACCTTTCTGCCATCTGTCTGTCTGTCCGACTGTCTGTCTGCCTGCTCTTTTTGTGTCTCTTTCTGGCCATATCTATGATTCCCATGGTGTCACTGCTTCGTCGTCCTGGTCCTTCTTCACGTCCGTGTCTCTGCTTTCCTCTATGTCTCCGTCTCTCCATGCCCCACGTTTGCCCCTCACTCCCTTGTCTGTATCTGTCTGTCTGTCTGTCTGTCTATGTCCATCTCCGCCCCTTCCTCTCTACGTCCCCTCCTCCTTGGGCTCCCACTTGCTGTGTCTATTTTCATCTGTGTGTCTCTGTCCCAGAGAAATGCTTGCAGGAGTGATGGATGGTCCATTAGAAAAAGATTAACAGGTGCGCTGAATGGAGAAACATCTGTTGTGAGGGAGGAGAAGGCGCGGGGTGACCTTTTGGATGGCAGTGGCTCCCCGCATCCCCGGTGGGAGTGCGTGTGTGGCGCGTGTGGCCAGAGCCAGCTGGTCATCATCACGGAGTGTCAGCATCTACAGCTTTCATCTCCGCGGACATCGCTTATTGGGCTGGCAAATTGCTGGCTCTGAGCAGCATCTGGACCCTGGCTCAGCCAGGGGCACTGGGCCTCAGCCCTCCCCACCGAGGGTCCCTCTCAGGGTCCCACTCCTCTTTTGGGACGACTTCTTGAGTCAGATGTAATTACAGATGGAAATGGGCCTTCTCCTTTCATCTGGGCTTGAGAGGAGCTGGCAGTTTTGCTAGTTTTCCCAGGCACCAGGCTGGAAGCTGGTGCTTGGGTTATTTTTTTTTCATCGTCCTTTTAACCCACATGGAGTCAGAGTCAGGTCCTTGCAGCTCCCTGTTGCTGATGGAGAGGGCTCCTGCTTTCGGTCCTCTGCTCTCCCACCTCCCAGCCCGTTGGGCCCTCTGCCTGCACAACCTTCTCTGCTCCCTGCCACCGGCTCTCTCTTAGCTTTTAGGTCTCTGCTGAGATGTCGCTGCCTCCTGACCCCACTAGCATTGCTCCCCTAGCCACCCTCTGCTTTCTTGTCATCAGCACACACCAGCTTGGTTTGTTAACTTGGTTTACTGGGCTTTGCCCCCAGAACATGAGCTTCTCAAAGGCAGGGACAGTGCCCTGACTCCCTCACCACTGCCCACCCTGGTAGCATGAGCCCAGCACATCATATCATTCAAATCTGTGGCAGCCATGCAGGAATGAATGAATGAATGAATGAATGAATGAATGAATGAATTCGGCTGTGGTCCCCGTGTGGTGTAATGGGAGAGCAGTTTGGTCATGCAGGAATGAATGAATGAATGAATGAATGAATGGATGAATGAATTCGGCTGCGGTCCCCGTGTGGTGTAATGGGAGAGCAGTTTGGCCATGCAGGAATGAATGAATGAATGAATGAATTCGGCTGCAGTCCCTGTGTGGTGTAATAGGAGAGCAGTTTGGCCATGCAGGAATGAATGAATGAATGAATGAATGAATGAATGAATGAATTCGGCTGTGGTCCCTGTGTGGTGTAATGGGAGAGCAGTTTGGAGTCCAGCTTGGTTCAGTCCCCTGCCTTGCCCTGCCACGTCCTTGCTGGATGGCTCTGAACAAGTCATTCCCCCTCCCAGTTTTCCCAGCCTCAGTCTCTCCATCTGTGAAACGGAGAGGCTAACTTGTGTTGGGTGTCAAATCAGGTCTCAACAACGGTGCTTCCCGTCTCTGTGATTCAGGCAGGGATGACCTGGCACCACCGTGAGCACACACCAGACACTTCAGCAGTCCCGGGGAAGCCGTGGTGGGGAGCGAAGGGGCTGGGCCTCCTAGGAGCCTTAGAGGAGAGGTTTGAATGAATTAGTTCATTCACTCGATCCTCTAGTTTTATGGATAAGGAAACTAAACTCCAGAGTAGTGGGGAAGCGACTCTCCCAGGACCGCACAGCCACTTAATGTCCAAACCAAGCCCGGACCCCTCTAACTTCCCCCACTGCCGCCAATCGTGGCCTCTAGTGTGGCCTGCTTTAAATACTGGGGTTCTTTGAACAATGCCATTTGCAGAACATCAGTTAAAAACCGGGAGTAAACAGCTCTGGGAGCAGAGGGAGGCTCTGCGGCTGCTGCAGCAGGAGTTAGTCTCCCTCTGACCACCCAGTGGCTTTGGGCAGGTCCTCTTACCTCCCCGGGTCTGAATGTCCTCTTCTGAGAGCTGTCGGGTGTGCTGAGAGCCACCACGGGTGCTGTGTGTGCAGGACTGTGCCTGGCATGCAGCAGGTACATTGTGTCCATCCTTCTTTCATGGAGCATGATGTCCCCAGCCACCCTTGGTCCTGAGACGGCCAGTGCTGGGAAGGGGAGAGAGAAGTTCTGCATGAACAGGGGTTAAGGGCAGGAGTCTTGGAGCCAGGCTGCCTGGGTTCAAATCCTGGCCCCACCACTTGTTAGCTCTGCAGCCTCAGGCAAGGGACTGGTGTCCTGTAAACCCGCATCCTTGCCTGCCTGCAGATGGGTTCTTATGAGAGACTAACTGAAGTGATGCCTGTAAAATATATAGAACAGTTCCTGGCATGTGGTAAGTGCTCACTAAATGGGTTAGGGTCGTGGGCAAACAAGGAGTTTCTGGCGACGCCTGTCCTGCTTTCCTGTCTTGCTCTGCATCTTAGCCGTGTGATCTCAGGCTGGCCTCCAAGCCTCAGTTTCCTCATCTGTGAAATGGGTATCAGAACACTTCCCTCGTGGTGCACTACAAGCCTCATTTCCAAATTTGTGGAAGGTCAGCCCTGTGGGGTCCCCCAAGTCTCACCATCTCAGCAGACCTCTCAGGACCCTGAGGTAGCAGAGATGAGAGGCCCTCAGGGCCTTGTACACGCAGCAGTGGGGAGACTGAGCTGTGGTGAGGATACCGACCCGCCAGGCCACACAGCCAGGGTGGGTGTCCAGAGGGGATCCACTGCTGCCCTCTGGTCTGACCGGGTCTCCATTCCCCACCCCAATGCCCCACAGCCAGAGGAGCTGACCAACATCCTGGAGATCTGCAACGTGGTCTTCACCAGCATGTTTGCCCTGGAGATGATCCTGAAGCTGGCGGCATTTGGGCTCTTCGACTACCTGCGTAACCCCTACAACATCTTCGATAGCATCATTGTCATCATCAGGTACTCCTCCACCCTCCCCCCGGGCAGCAGAGTGGCTTGGGGGGGAGGGGGCGGGATTTAATGTGAAGACCTCAGCCACTATATAAAGGACATAGGATGGCAGTGGAAACCCGTTGCACTGAAACAATGATCGAAATAGTCAAACATTTGTGATTTAGCAACATATTTATGCAAAGTTAAATAGCACGATCTAGCAGCGGGTCTGTGACTGCTATCATTCCAAGGAAGGGATGGGCATAAATAATATTGGGAAACAGCTGCATCGGCTGTCACATGACATGAAGACATCAGTTACTTTGATTGCCACAATGCCATAGGTACTGCTAATTCTCTGTGGCTTCCTGTTTACATTCATAACCAAAAGACACATTAAATCTCATAAAGAGGACAGTGACATCCACGGAGCTCCTGGATTCTAGCCAGAGATTTCTTGTGGGGGTGGTGGTCCATGGACTCCAGGTGAAGAGCCCCTGATTAGCTGCGTGGAGCAGCATCCAACATATTTGTCAGATGGATGGATGAACGGAAGCTCTGACTCTCTGTTTTCCCTTCTCCCTCTGTCTTCCTCTCCCCCCCGGCCTCCTACTGCTCCCTCCTACCTGCACCCTGGGCCTGCCCTGTGGGGCCACAGCATCTGGGAGATAGTGGGGCAGGCGGACGGTGGGCTGTCGGTGCTGCGGACCTTCCGGCTGCTGCGCGTGCTGAAGCTGGTGCGCTTCATGCCTGCCCTGCGGCGCCAGCTCGTGGTGCTCATGAAGACCATGGATAACGTGGCCACCTTCTGCATGCTGCTCATGCTTTTCATCTTCATCTTCAGGTGAGCCTGCCCTGCTGGGGGCCATACCTCAGGGCCTGCTAGGGCTGTGGGCGGGAGCCTGGGGGATGTGGTCCGCTGTGCTTCTCTGGACAAAGCCACCTGGACCTGGGTGTGAAGGCTGACACCGTCCCTCAGTCCCCTGTGGCTTTCAGCAAGCATGACCCCCTGAGCCTCAGTGTTCACCTCTGTAAAATGGGACCCACGCTGCCCCGCCCCCCCCTGCCCGCGTTTTACTGAGTTGACTGGGAGTGAAACAAGGTGGGTGGGCAGTTTGCTGCGTGTGAGTCTGATGAGCCTCGTCCACCCTTTCCCCAGCATCCTTGGGATGCACATTTTTGGCTGCAAGTTCAGCCTCCGCACGGACACTGGAGACACGGTCCCTGACAGGAAGAACTTCGACTCCCTGTTGTGGGCCATCGTCACCGTGTTCCAGGTGAGTGGCCGCTGTGTGTCCATATGTGCTGGGGAAGCGATGGGACAGTAGTCCTTGGAGGGGCGGGACTGACAGCCCCCGTGCCTCCCTGGAGAGCCTAGCCCTGGACTAGGGGTACCCCAGGGCTAACTGTGTCTCCCCAACAGATCCTCACCCAGGAGGACTGGAACGTCGTGCTCTACAACGGCATGGCCTCCACCTCCCCCTGGGCCTCCCTCTACTTTGTCGCCCTCATGACCTTCGGCAACTATGTGCTCTTCAACCTGCTGGTGGCCATCCTGGTGGAGGGCTTCCAGGCGGAGGTGACTGTGGTCTTGGCAGAGGAAGCACCCCCACAGGGCCTGCAAAAGACTGGGCGAGGGAGAGGTGGCCTGGATGGGGGAGGGCTGCGATTCAAACTTCTAGCAGGCAACCTGTTCCCAAAGGAGGGGGTTGCTGATGAGGTGGTGAGCTCTTCATCATAGGAAGCATGCAAATGGAAACTGCATCTGCCATCTCTGCTCTCCCCCAGGGATGTAGGACTAGGTTTCTCCATCTCTGAGATTCGAAATCCCCCAAGATTAGGGACTCTGGGCCCTGCCCCCTCCGTTCTCTGAGGCTCTTGGGATACTTGCAGTCAGGCAGATGTAGGGTTGTGGCCTAGGTTCTTGTTAGCATCTCGTTTCCCTTTTCCAACCCTCAGTTTTCCCATCTGTAAAATGGTGGCGGAAACACCTGTAGAAAAATTCAGGAGGGAGCTGGAAAGGGAGGAGCTGGGCTCACCGGCATTTTAACATGAGGGATGCTCTCCCAGGGTGACGCCAATCGCTCCTACTCGGACGACGACCAGAGCTCATCCAATATGGAGGAATTTGACAAGCTCCAGGAAGGCCTGGACAGCAGCGGAGGTAAACAGGCCCTCGCTTGTCACCTAGAGGGCCAAGATCCTTCCCCACAGATCCAGGTGGGCAGAGGGGACAGCGTCTGACTTGCCCTCAAGTCCAGGCTCAGGGACTGCTACTTTTCTATGGTTTGTTGTTTATGTTCATAATTGGAAAAAATGTGAAATCTCAAAAAGAGGTCGGTGACGTCCATGGACCCCTGGGATTCTAGGCACAGGGGTAGCCGCAGCCTACCGCATCCCTCCACACACCAGGGCCCCTTGGTTAGAGCCTCAGGGCCTTAGGTCGAGGCCCAGGTTCTGGTCTCGCCTGGCACTACCAGGCATCCTGGAACAAGCATCCCCCAACCCTAGCCCAGTGTCTTTCTTGGTAACCAGGGCGGACAGTCCCTGCCTTGTTTCCCATTGTGGGCATGGGAGTGAGGTGCCAGGCTGGTCCTGAGCACAGAAGGCAAGGGGTCCACACATACCTAAATAAAGTTGAGAGCCCTACAGGTGGGGCAGAGGGGAGGCACTGTGATGGGGTGCAACCAGGAAGACTTCCTGGTAGAGGAAGCCTCCTCAGAAAAGCTCTCCATTTCTGCTCCTTCCTTGTTTGTTTGTCTCGTGGCTCCCTTGCTCTTGTTCTGTCCTTCTGTCTGCCATCTGTCCCTCCCTCTGTCTCCATCTCACTCCTCCAGATCCCAAGCTCTTTCCAATCCCCATGACCCCCAATGGGCACCTGGACCCCAGTCTCCCGCTGGGTGGGCACCTAGGTCCTGCTGGGGCTGCGGGACCTGCCCCCCGACTCTCACTGCAGCCGGACCCTATGCTGGTGGCCCTGGGCTCCCGAAAGAGCAGCGTCATGTCTCTGGGGAGGATGAGCTATGATCAGCGCTCCCTGGTGAGTCCTTGTGGGGAGCTCTGGATGGGCACTTCCTGCTGGGGTACGTGTGGAGGGGCCCTGAAGAGAGGTACCTGCCAGTCCAGCCTCAGACTCTGGTGCCCAGCCAAAGTCAGGCAGGGGCCATATCTGTTGCATTCCTGGGTGCCAGTGCCAGAGCGGGACCTGGCAATAAGGAATGAATGAATGCCCAGTGCCAGTGGGGTCTGGTGCAGAAAACTGGCTTTTCATCTCAGCAGCAATGTGTAGGGTAAAAAGAGCTGGGCTTTGAATCCAGCTTCTGCCACCTCCAAGCTGTGTGACAATGAGCAAATTACTGCCCTTCTCTGAGCCTCAGTTTCCTTACCTGTAAAATGGGAAGATGGCCCTAACTTGCTGTACCTTCCTCAAGGGAAGTGAGGTGGCAGAAGGGGATATAACCTCTAGGTGGACGTGCCCCCATGTCCTCATGGATGTGGATGGAGTGAGGTGGGACAGGGAGAGGAGTTCTAGGATCCATTCCGTCACCCGCTGGCCAGGCGAGTGACCCTCTTAGAGCCACAGTGGGGGTGCAGGCTGCCTTTGGGCACCTGGTGCCCCACCCATGGGTGTGCCTGTGGGGCGCTGACCCGAGCGGGAATTCCTCCCAGTCCAGCTCCCGGAGCTCCTACTACGGGCCGTGGGGCCGCAGCGGGGCCTGGGCCAGCCGCCGCTCCAGCTGGAATAGCCTCAAGCACAAGCCGCCGTCGGCCGAGCATGAGTCCCTGCTCTCCGCGGAGCGCGGCGGCGGCGCCCGGGTCTGCGAGGTTGCCGGGGACGAGGGGCTGCCACGGCCCGCACCCCTGCACGCCCCTCACGCCCCGCACGCCCACCACGCTCATCACGGGCCCCATCTGGCACACCGCCACCGCCACCACCGCCGGACACTGTCCCTTGACACCAGAGACTCGGTGGACCTGGCCGAGCTGGTGCCCACCGTGGGCGCCCACCCCCGGGCCGCTTGGAGGGCGGCGGGCCCGGCCCCCGGGCATGAGGACTGCAATGGCAGGATGCCCAGCATCGCCAAGGACGTCTTCACCAAGATGGGCGACCGCCGGGATCGCGGGGAGGATGAGGAGGAGATCGACTACGTGAGTGGGGACCGGGCCGAAGGGGACCTGGTGCAGCGGGATAGGAAAGAAGGGGGTGCGGCCACAGGAGGCGGGGCCCCAGCGGGCGGGCCCACGGGGGGCATAGCCGGGGCGTGGCCGGAGCGGCTAGGGCTTCAGGTGCGAGGCAGGAGGAGCGGGGCCAGAACTGCCCACCCCTGAGCTGGGCCCGCTCCTGAGAGAGAAGCCCTCCCTGGCTGACCCCGGAGGGCAGAGAGTTCGGAGGTGACCCTGCGACCCCAGCTGGCGGGATGGCCGCATGGGCGGAGACTGGCAGCCCTGCGCATCGCTAACCCCCGGCGCTCCATCCTCCTTTTGCCAGACCCTGTGCTTCCGCGTCCGCAAGATGATCGACGTCTATAAGCCCGACTGGTGCGAGGTCCGCGAAGACTGGTCTGTCTACCTCTTCTCTCCCGAGAACAGGTGGGCGGGGCCAGGCCTGGGGTGAGGGTTAGAGTAGGGGTGACGTGGGAGGGACGGATCTCTGCGAGGCAGGCAAGGCCATTGGTGGTGCTCTCCCAGACCACAGCGGACCCTCCTGGCCCAGAGGTGGAGGTCTCCAGGGGAGAGTGCAGCCTCCTGAGGGCTGCTGGGTGAAGATGGATTTGGGGAGGAGGATTGGCTGGAGGAGGTCAGGGAGGAGATAGCCTTGGCTTCCAAGATCCCTGGGGAGCAGGGGTCCCCTGGGCTAGGCGAGAACTTTAGGCAAGACAGATGTTGGTGGCCAGGCTCTCCTGGGCTCTCGTCTAGTCTAGGCCATCCCTGTGCTGGGCACCAGGTTGAACCATCCTCAAGTAGCCTGTATGGCTTGCATCTCAGGGGACATCAGAAGGCTTCCTGGAGGAGGAGGCCTTTGTGCTGGGCTGTGGAGGCAGGTGGTAATCCAGTAGGCACATCAGGGGCTGTGAAGAGGAGGAGCCTGGTGCAGGGGCAGGGAGCAGACTGAGGGAAGGCCTGGGGCAGAAGCAGAGGGTACCAGGCAACGTGGTATCCTCCTGAGAGGCTCAGGGATCTGGGCTAAGCCTTGAGTGCCAGGGCAAGGTGGGTGACCTCATGGTGTGCGTGTGTGGTCAGAGGAGGTGGCGCCAGGTGGGCACCCTGAGCAGGTGTAGAGTCAGCACCTGCCATGTGGCCAAAGGAGAGGATAGGGGTTGCTTCCTTGAGGCCAGCCTGGTCTGCACTTCTGCCTGGGCCCTCTGCCTTCCTTCTGGCCAGGGTGGGAGGCAGCTGACGCTCAGGCGGCCCCCACCCACCCTGCCCAGGTTCCGGGTCCTGTGTCAGACCATTATTGCCCACAAGCTCTTCGACTACGTTGTCCTGGCCTTCATCTTTCTCAACTGCATCACCATCGCCTTGGAGCGGCCTCAGATCGAGGCTGGCAGCACTGTGAGTGGCTCTAGCCTTTGGGCAGGGCAGGGGCCAGGCCAAGGGACAGCTTGCCAGGGCTGAGGGGGGCAGGGAGACCTCCCACCATGGGGGAGGCGGGACAGGGAGTTTGCCCTTGGGGGAGGTGGAACTGGGAGTTTGCCTTTGGAGCGGGGAAAGCCTCTGTGAACTGAGAAGTGGCAGCCTCTTCTCTACGCACCTTGGCCAAAGCAGATGCTGGCCAGTGGCCAGGCAGCTCCGGGAGCCCCTGGGCCCATGGTATCTCCCAATGCTTTCAGGAACGCATCTTTCTCACCGTGTCCAACTACATCTTTACGGCCATCTTCGTGGGCGAGATGACACTGAAGGTAGCTCCCAGCTTCACTCAGGGCCCCTGACCCTGGGTCAGCCCCTGCCTCAGCTTGTCACTCGCCTGCCATCAGCCTCATTCCACTCGTAGCCCCATAGCCCACCCCTCTGGGTACCAGCCCCTGGGCTGGGCTTCCGCGACCCAGAAGGGGTCAGCCTTGTCCCCATTCACAGGAGTCACAACCCCGCTAGACAGACGGGTGCAGGGAACACTGAGTGTGATGGAGGCACCTGCTGGAGGTGTGGGGCGCAGGGGAAGCATCCCGTCTGGGGCGCTTCCCAGGGCGGGCAGTTTTGAATTGGATTTGCCAGAGGCACCGGGAACCTAACGGGGCGGCCTGCTGGGCCCTGACCCTGCCCCGTCCCCGCCCATCACCCACCCTCAGAGGGCGGCCTGAACCCTCCCCTTCCCTCCAAACCCGACACTTGCAGGACCCCGCCCCCTCCCCCCGAAGCCGACATGGCCTCGCCCCGCCTCCTCGCGCAGAGCCCGGCTGGCCCCGCCCACCTACCCGCTCCTCCCGCGGCTGCCTGACCCCGGCCCCACCCCTGTCCCAGGTGGTCTCGCTGGGCCTGTACTTCGGCGAGCAGGCGTACCTGCGCAGCAGCTGGAACGTGCTGGACGGCTTTCTTGTCTTCGTGTCCATCATCGACATCGTGGTGTCCCTGGCCTCGGCTGGGGGAGCCAAAATCCTGGGGGTCCTCCGAGTCTTGCGGCTCCTGCGCACCCTACGTCCCCTGCGGTGAGGGACCCTCCCTGGCGGATGGGGGAAGGTGTCATGCACTGTGCAGAGAAGCCACGGGTCGGTGGAATTGGGCCGTCACTCCGCCCTCCCCTCCCGCCCACTCGGTCCTCCAATACTGAGTGCCAAGCACCCTGAGCTGTTCCCGGGGGAGGGGACTGCAGACCCTGGGGGTGGGGCATGCTGGAAGAGCAGGGCTGAAGCTGGACCCCAGTATTGCTGCCCACTCTGCGTGTCCCTGAGTGGCTCGTTGCCATCTCTGGGCATCAGTCCTAGACCAGGGTGTGGTGTGGACCCGGAGGAGCTGGGCACAGTGAGGGGTGAGGGCAGGTGCCCTGCTGCTGCTGTAGGTCTGAGGCCTGGGTGCAGCTTGCCTCCTGCTCTGCCAGTGTCTGGGTTGCCTGGCCGCTTTCTCTGCATTCCTGGCGACTGTCCTCATGCCCCAGGATGTTCAGCCCTGGTGAGCCCTGGGGGCTCATGCCCTGGGATGCTCAGCCCTGGTGACTCTGGGCTGAGTAGGGGCTGCCTCTTGGTCAAGGGATTATGTGTGCCTGGCCTCTCCCTGCCCTCAGTGTCATCAGCCGGGCGCCGGGCCTGAAGCTGGTGGTGGAGACACTCATCTCCTCCCTCAAGCCCATCGGCAACATCGTGCTCATCTGCTGTGCCTTCTTCATCATCTTTGGCATCCTAGGAGTTCAGGTGAGGGGTGCCCAGGCTGGGCAGGGACTGGGCTCTGTGACTGGGGAAAAGGAAGTCTCAGACAGCCAGGGGAGAGACTCCACATTCCAACCTCATGCGCCTTGCCTGCTGTGGGCTCCTCCTCCAGGGAAGGAGACAGACATGAGCCCAGATGACTGAGCACAAGACAGGCTGAGTAAATGCAATCGAGAGGCGGGTTCCTCTCTGACTTGCAACCCTCACCCGTGAGAGCACCAACTTTGCCCCCTTTCCCCAGCTCTTCAAGGGCAAGTTCTACCACTGTCTGGGCGTGGACACACGCAACATCACCAACCGCTCGGACTGCATGGCCGCCAACTACCGCTGGGTCCATCACAAATACAACTTCGACAACCTGGGCCAGGTGAGCACCGCCCTCCTAGCCCTGATCAGACCCTCCCCTCTCTTGGATGCCAGTGGCTCTGGGAATCACAGACCTGGCTTCAATCTTGCACTGCCAGGACTGACACTGACTTCTCCTCTCCAAGCCTCAGTTTCCTATTCTGCAAAATGGGTAAGGGTAGCACTCACCTCTCAGGTGGGATGAGGCTTAGAGAGTCTGTGTGCAGAGTGCCCAGCAAACGCCTTCACTTAGTAGGTGCTTTGTGAACATTGGTTCTTGGCTCCCACCCCCGACCCAGGGGACCCTGACAGGAGTTTGAGAATCAAGCAGTCCTGGAGGTGAATCCAGCTCTGCCACTTTCTGTAGGTGTGGCCTCCCTGAGCCTCAGTTTCCTCATCTATGAAATGGAAATGTTACAGCCTGCCAGGCAGGCTGCGGTCCCGGGGTGGTTCCCTCTCCTGTCACCCACCCACTGCTGTCTGCTCTGTCGACAGGCACACCCCTGCCTGGTGTCTGCTTTCCCCTTGGTTTCCTCTCCTGGGGGCCTGCCAGGCGTGACCCATCTGGGCAGTGCCCCAGGTGAGACCCCTTGGCTGGCTGCCTCCCCTTCCCTGCTCTCATTTCTCCAGGGTCTGCCCAGGAGGCCAGGTATGTCCACTTGCAGGTGTGCCTTGCCCCAGGGCGCACAGGAAGGAGCAGGCTCCAGGCCCTCGTCCCCCGCTGGCTGATGGGCAGTCTCCAGCTAGATCCCCCTGGAGGGCTTGCCCCCCAGTGGCACCTCAGAGGGGAGCCACAAGGCCTTGGAGGGGCAGTGAGTGCCCAGGGAAAGGGTGTCGGGAACCGTGACAGTCACTACCCCTGCCCATCTGGGGAAAAGATGTCTTAGGAAGTTGAGGGGGAGCTCGCCAGGGGCCTTTTGTGCCCATGCTCCTGATCCCCTTCACCTATGGGCCCTGCCCCAGTGCCAGCCCCGCCCCTTTGGAGCATTTCTGGGTCTATCTGGCACCAGGCTCTTCTGGAATCCCTCATGGGGTGTTCTCAGCACTCGGAGCCACCTGGAGGGTTCCGGCCTGGCCTGCAGCCTCTGACTCCTCAGTGGCCCTTACCAGCTGTGTGCCCTCAGACAAGTGCCAGACCCTCTGTTCCAGTGTCCTCATCTGTCAACAGGGACAGTGATGGCAGGTCCTTGGAATGCAGGAGCCTCCTGTGCCCTTGGCAGGGGGGCTTCCTCTGCCCTCCCTGCTCCTGGGTGTGAACACTTTCTGGACACCTTCGGCACCGTTCCCACCTGGAAAGAAAAGAGGAGGGGTCTGTGATCTGGATGGTGGGAAGGAGGGGCCAGTGCGGGGCCAGAGACTCATTCCAGAACCGTATGTCCTGGCCCACAGTGGCAGGAGCACAGAGCGGGGTGTGACCGCCTCTGCCCTGGGGAGAGGGCGTCCTGAGTAGGACATGTGACCTCTGGGCAGTTTCTGGTGAAATGGGACCCTTTGTGAACCTACTAACTACTGGTGCAAGGATGGCACCGGAGGCTGTGCTCAAGTTCAGTTCAGAGAACCTTTACTGAGCACCTGCTGTATGCAAGGTTCTGCGCTGGGTGCCGGTGCTGCAGAACCAGATGTGACCTCACTGAAGGGACATGAGGATGCTGATCTGCCATCTCTGTGGGAGCCTTGGGTGGCTGTGTTCTGGGGACCACCTCCTTTTCAAAATTTTACAAACCAGGGAGAGGAATTATTGCCATTTTACCGATGAGGAAAGGGGCCCAGAGACATCGAGGAACTTGCCTCAAATCACATAGCCAGTGAGTGGTACAGCCTGGGCTCTGACCCAGGGTTCCTGACGCCTCTCATGAGCTCCTGTTTTCAGATACTAGGGCAAACGTGTCTTACCCCCTGGAGTAAGGATGGCAGGGACCGTCTGGTTGAGCCTCAGTTGGCCCTCCCAGCACACCTGCCAGAAAGGTATTTGTTAGCTCCATTCTGTGGGTGAGGGGACAGGAGTTCATGAATTTTTTTTGCCCAAGATCACACAGCTGGATGATTTCAGAGCTGAGACCAAAACCCAGGACTGTGGGTCCAGCACTTTTTCTTCTGTAACAGCAACTACAAGAGTATGTTGCAGGCACATAGTACCTCCTTAGGAAAGGTTTGTTGGATGAGGGCACTGCTCTGTCACATGGAGAAGACCTCTTTGTCCCTCTGTCTCCCAGGGGCAGAAGAACAGAGAGCTGAGGAAGGGTGGCTGCAGCTGGCATCACTCACACTCCTCACTCCTGCATTCCCCTTCCCCATGTCTCCCAGGCTCTGATGTCCCTCTTTGTCCTGGCATCCAAGGATGGTTGGGTGAACATCATGTACAATGGACTGGATGCTGTCGCTGTGGACCAGCAGGTGGGTGTAGCTGGGACCAGGTCAAGCCTTGATGCAGGGAGGGACATGATGTCCTTGGGGCCCAGTGGTTTGAATTTGAAACTGGTGCCAGCGAGACCCACAGCCCCAGTGTCTCCCCACTGTCAGCATAGCCCACCCCTCACATCTTGGCCTGAATATTCACCATTAGAGCCACTCCTTGGGTAGCATAAGTCATTGTTACATTTGCTTTGGCAAATCCCCCTTGCTCTTTGTGGAGAGGCATCTGAGCTGCTCCTGCCTGGAGGGGCACAGAGCCTGGGGGGTAGAGAACCAAGTGCAGGCAGAGAAGAGGGGCTGAGCCAGCTGGCAGAGGAACAGAGAGGGTGAGAGTGTGATGTGTTTAGGGAATTGGGAGTTGGGGGCTAGGAGCAGAAAATGAGAGGCAGGAGATGGGGAGAGGAGGCAGGTAGGGCTAGGTGGTCTGCAAGCCCCCGAGTGTGCAATGACAAGGGGCAAAAGTTTATTCTGAGGGCAGAGAGAGCCAGTGAGGGGCTAACAGCAAGAGTGGTGTCCCTGCTTGTCAGGTCTACTTGTCAGTGCAGCCTCCTGAGGGCTGCTGAGTGAAGATGGATTTGGGAGGGGGATTGGGTGGAGGAGGTCAGGGAAGAGACTCAGCCTTGGCTTCCGAGACCCCTGGGGAGCAGGGATCCCTCTGGGTCTAGGTGGAGACTTTAGGCAAGATGTGTGGCTGACCAAGGTCGGCTGTGTTCAGACCGAGGGGGTCACTGAGAGAAGAAACAGAAAGATTCCCTAGCTCAAGACAGGGCCCACTCAGTGGTGGAGGCAGGGATGTGTGCAACTCCCAGGCTGATAATGGACCCCTGGTTCTTGGCTTCATGGGTGCCACCCAGTAAGACTCTGGAGCTGGATGTGGGGGTGGTGGTATTGGCTGGGAGGAATGAGAATGCTTGGCTGCATCTTCCTCTACTTCCTTGTCTGCTCTGTCTCCTCACCCCCACAAGCTTGCCCTCAGGAAGCTCAGGGTCTGGAAGGGAAGGGTCAGAGGGAAGGTGGGTCAGGGAGGCAACATTTGGTCCGTGGTTTGCACATGGGTGGCAATGACTGTGGTGTGTTAAGTATTGACTCTTTGCAAGGCACATGCATACACGGATTCCACCAAGGAAACTATGCATCCAAGTTTTCCTCTCTGCTGGCCACCTTGTTTTCTGCCTTATTTCTGGATGGGTGAAAAAGTGGATGGATGGAGATGTCGATGGAGGGGTGACTGGCTGGCTGGGTGGGAGAATGGGTGGGTGGTGGATTGATGGATAGATGGATGGATGGATGGATGGATGGATACATGGGTGAGTGGATGGGTAGGTGAATGGATGGGCGAATGGGTGGGTGAGTGGATGGGTGGATGGATGGATGGGTGGGTCGATGGGTCGATGGGTGGATGGGTGAGTGAGTGGATGAATGGGTGAGTGGATGGGTGGATGGATGGATGGGTGGGTAAATGGATGAATGAATGGGTGGATGGATGGGTGGGTGAATGGGTGGATGGGTGAGTGAGTGAATGAATGGGTGAGTGGATGGGTGGATGGATGATAGATGGATGGATGAGTGGGTGGATGGATGGGTGGATGCATGGATGGATGGGTGGGTGGATGAATGGGTGGATGGGTGGGTGGGTGGATGGATGGGTAGATGGATGGATGGGTAGATAGATGAATGGCTGGCTGGCTGGTTAGCTGGTAGGTGGATGGATGGGTGGATACATGGATGGGTGAATGGATGGATGGGTGGGTGGATGGGTGGGTGGGTGGATGGGTGGGTGGATGGATGGATGGGTAGATAGATGAATGGGTGGCTGGCTGGCTGGTGGGTAGATGGATGGGTGGATGCATGGATGGGCAAGTGGGTGGATGGATGGGTGGATAGATGGGTGGGTGGATGGATGGATGAGTGGATGGGTGGTGGATGGATGGGTGAGTGAGTGGAAGGAAAGGTAGATGGATGGATGCATGCATGCATAGGTGAATGAATGGATAGGTGAATGAGAGGAAGAAGACAGACGTTTCCAGGAGGCAGCCGCTAAGCCGAGAGGGAGAGGTGGCTTTCTTGGCTGAGGACCATATTGTGTCATGCTCAGGGTATTTACTTCTTACCTGCTGCCTCATTTAGACCTCACAGCTGCCTTCCTGGAGGCAGGCTCAACACATCCCCACTCCATGGAGGCTCAGCCAGGTTGGGCACTTCCCCATGGCCCTGTAGGGCCTGATCAGCCTCCTCAGCCCTCTCTGACTCCCCTGCAGCCTGTGACCAACCACAACCCCTGGATGCTGCTGTACTTCATCTCCTTCCTGCTCATCGTCAGCTTCTTCGTGCTCAACATGTTTGTGGGTGTCGTGGTGGAGAACTTCCACAAGTGCCGGCAGCACCAGGAGGCTGAAGAGGCACGGCGGCGGGAGGAGAAGCGGCTGCGGCGCCTGGAGAAGAAGCGCCGGAGTGAGTGGGTGCCTGTGGAGGGTGTGGGCCACCCAGCTCTAGGCCCCTCTGCCTGGACCTGACCCCAGCATCCTGAGACTTTGGAGCTGGAAGGAAACAAATGATACAGCCCCTGTGTCCAGGGCTCAGTCACTTCTCCCAGCATCTTTCTGTCCGGGGGATCTGAGCTCCATCAGTGTCCAATGGCTGACACCACTGCCAACCTGAGTAAGGCTGTTGGGGGTTCAGTCCACGCATAGGGCAAAGGCAGAGCCTGGGAAACCTGCCCTCCCTGCAGGCAGGCCCAGAGCTCCTGCCACAAGCTCATTTGGGGTAGATGGAGAGAATGAATGTCCTGCCTTCTTTGTCACCCTTCCCCACAGTTTCTGTCATGGTGCTTTGGCTGGGTGGAGATCTAACATTGATTCCAGAGCCTGGGGTGGATCAACATCTTCCTCCTTGCCCCCTCCCCTTCCTCCACCTTTCTGTCCTTTGTGCTCTGTGCCCTTTCCCTTGACCCTAACCCTCTGTGGTCTGTGCCACTCCCCCTGCACCACCTGCAGAGGCCCAGCGGCTGCCCTACTATGCCACCTATTGTCACACCCGACTACTCATCCACTCTATGTGCACCAGCCACTACCTGGACATCTTCATCACCTTCATCATCTGCCTCAACGTGGTCACCATGTCCCTGGAGCACTACAATCAGCCCACGGTGAGCCCTGGTCTGCCTCCCAGCCCAAGGTTACAAGGTGAGGGTGGGGTCTCAGCAGGACCCCACCCCAGGGATAGGGTAGGGAAGGGGTTAGCTGATAGCAGGATGTGAGCAGCCCCTCCATGCTGGGCTCTATGCTGGGCACTGCAATGGGAGGAGGTGCCGGACAAGCTTGCCCTCAGGAAGCTCAGGGTCTGGAAGGGAAGGGTCAGAGGGAAGGTGGGTCAGGGAGGCAACATTTGGTCCGTGGTTTGCACATGGGTGGCAATGACTGTGGTGTGTTAAGTATTGACTCTTTGCAAGGCACACTACATGTATGAACTCTTTAATCCTCACAGCAATCCTAAGGCTGGCAGGGGGAATCATTTGTCCAGATTTTATAGGTGAGGAACCTGAGGCTTAGAGAGCTTAAATATGCTGCCAAAATTACTCAGCCATACGTAGTGGAACCAGGTCTGGAACTTAGAATTGCATTCAAAGCCTACCATGTAGCCTCCATTACTACCTGGGCATATGGAGACTATGCAAAGGGTGGAAAGACCATTTCAGGCAAACACTGGTGGTGGATGAGGATGACCATTTCCCAGCTTGTTGCAGACTGGGTATGTGAGGGGCATGTGAGAAGCAAGTGCATTCTAAAAACCCTGATGGAGTTGGAGGGGAAGAAGAGGGAAGCAGAGCTTCCAGGTGTGGAATTAATACCTTATTTCAAATGATGGGAGAGGAATATTATGAATACAGGAAAAAGAAAGATAACCATTGGCAAAATGAAACAATAATTATGGAACTTCCAAATTAACAGGAAAAAAATGAAAGAATAATGGTTTACATTTACCAAGTATTGTTCTGTGTCCAGCACTGAATTATTAGCTCATTTAATTTTCATAGCAGCTTTCTAAGATGAAATGACTTACTCAAGATCATATGGTGAATTTGGAGTGAGCACTAAGCCAGGATTCAAATGTAGGCAGTCTGGCTCAGTAGCTCTTCATTAATACCCTATATTGCCTCCAAAGGTACCAACTGGACCAGATACACACAAATAGGAAAAAGGAAACAGAAGGAATAACAACATAAAATAAATAGCACACATTAAGATGGAAAGAATAAAAGCAGCATATAAATAATTATGCTAAAAGTAAATGGACTAAATTCTCTCCTTAAAAGGCAGAGACTTTCTGAGTGGAGGAAGGTTCTGGAGCTGGTCATGTGCCCTGGATCATGCTTCTCTTTGTTCCCCCATAGTCCCTGGAGACAGCCCTCAAGTACTGCAACTATATGTTCACCACTGTTTTTGTGCTGGAGGCTGTGCTGAAGCTGGTGGCATTTGGTCTGAGGCGCTTCTTCAAGGACCGGTGAGTGGCCAGGCTGGGTTAGGGCAGTAATAGGGTAGACTGCAGGATGAGGAAGCAGTCCTGACCCTTAGGGAAGTCTGGAGCAGCCTGAAGAGGGGAACCAGTAAGCATCTAGGCACTGGACAGGCATCCCAGCTGCTGCTTATAGCTCTGAACAGGAAATGATTATGGTATCATCTGATGGGTGCAGGGCATTCTACTTGGCCCTTCTCAGTTCATCTTTGGTAGGTTGTTTCTACCCTATAGGCAGAGCAGGGTCTGCCTCATGCTAATACTCCTTTTTGAAGGGAATAGTGAGGCTCAAAGAAGTTGGTGGATTAGCCTAAGGCCAGACAGAGGGAGCAGCCAGCTCAAGGTTAGACCTGGAAGTCACAGTCCATGCCTCCTTTCCTGCAGGAGGCTAGAGATGTTTATCCTGATCAGCCCCTTGCTTGAGGAAGTGATGGCTATGGAGAGCAGAGACAGGCCTGGACCCAGTGGCATTAGGAGGCGCTAGTAAGGGAGGGCAGCCACACAGCCCAATGGGCCACAATAGAAGGTTGAGGACTTGGGAGACTCCCCTACTAAGATGTGTCTGAACCAGAGGGATCCTCCTCATGCCCGCTCCTACCCTCCCATGCACGGCTGAGCAGATGGAACCAGCTGGACCTGGCCATTGTGCTACTGTCAGTCATGGGCATCACACTGGAGGAGATAGAGATTAATGCAGCCCTGCCCATCAACCCCACCATCATCCGCATCATGAGGGTTCTGCGCATCGCCCGAGGTGAGGGGCAAGGGGTGGGACAGGGAACGGGGGCAAGCAGGGGCAGGATGAGACTCCTCATTGCCTGATGAGAGCACACAGGAGTGGGGTGGGGAGAGGTGGGGGCAGGAGTTTGTGGGCATGGTGGGCTCCTTGCTGAGCAGGGGTGAGCAGGAGCCGGGAGGCACACAGCCAGCACACACGCATGCACCCTCTGTGTGCACACACCTCCCCCAGCACACAGACAGCTTTGCATAGCACACATGGATACACACTCCCACTTCCTTATAACGTCATGACCCATGGGGTCCAGTCTCAGAGTGTGATGCAAGGAACCCAGTCCAACTGGGAAGATGTGAAACACCTCCAGCTCCTCCCTGGCATTTCTCAATCACAGTGACTGGGACGTACGGTCTTCAGAGACCCTTCTCCTCCCCTCAAGCCAGTTCCCACACTTCTTTTAAAAGCCTCCTGCCTCAGGGCGAGCCCAGGTGCCTCCTGCTCTTCTGCCTGCCAGAAACTCAGCGAGTGATGCCAGAGTCCTCTTTATCGAGAGGGGAAGGGAAGAGATGTGGCCACTCACGCTGGTCCTTTGTGCCTGTGACAGTTCATGGCACACTCATTCACACACTTCATAGACCTCAGTTCCCATGAGAATGCCCCATCCTCGGGGGCTGTTTTACAGTGACGCCCACGCCTTGTGTCCACATGTTTTTGTGCATGCCCCACTCACCCTGTGGCTGCACCCACATTCTTGTAATGTGGCGTCTGAGAGCCGGACTCTGCTTGCACGTGCCTTCATGTGCTCTTTTACCGAGTTTACGCACGTGCACACACGCGTGCACACACACGTCCCCACCGGCCCGGGGCTGAGTGGGCGGGGCTGGGTCTCGCCCACAGTGCTGAAGCTGTTGAAGATGGCCACAGGGATGCGGGCCCTGCTGGACACGGTGGTGCAAGCTTTGCCCCAGGTAAGAGCCACTCTTTCTGGCAACCCTCCTGGGCTCATTGGTGTCAGGCTGGGCCCTGGGGCATGAAGGGCCTGATATTCCTTCTCACATCTGCCAAAGCCAGGGCAGATGCTGTCTCTGGGGATGCGTTTTGAGCCGAGGGCTGACAGGCAGAAAGAGTCCCTTTCTGCCTGTTTCTTCCGGCTTCACCACGTGGTTGCCAGTGACACTCTGTGTCCAGCCCTGCCCGTGCACTCAGGGTCCGCATCGTGCCCTTGGTTGCCCCAGGCTGGTGGAGGGAGATGGATACTTCAGGGAGATGTGGGGAGGGACCTCCAGCATGCTCCAGGGAGAGAAGACTGCCAGACACTCCCTGGGGAGATCAGGGAAGGCAGCCTAGGAAAGGGGACCTTTGAGCTTGACTTCCAAGGGTGGCTTGGCAGAAGAAGGTGGCAGTGTGGATGGGGAAGTTCCGAGATGGCATTCCAGGAGGGGCAGCATGAGACACTGACCCAGGTGGGGATCTCAGAAGTTAGGGAAGTTGCTTTACCCCCACCCCGTGGTTAGTGAAAAGGGAGATGTGATCAGGGCCACCGAGGGCATCTTTTTCATCCTCCTGGGAATTCTGCAACCCCAGTCCTTCCCTCCCTTGCTGTCTGGACTGCTTGAGGCTCTTCTTCCCCCTCCCCTAAGGGTGGCCTCTGCTGTGATGACCCTCAGGCACATTTATTTATTCATTATGATTCATCGAGTCATCAGGAACTTTAGACACCTTAAAATACAAGGCACAGATACTGCACAGTAAAAATGAGGAAACAAGATTAACAGCCCAGGGAAGGTGGAAGCAGAGCTAATTCTTTCGGGGAGTGGGGCTAAGGACATGGGTGAGTTCTGTTCCTGAGTTTGGTGTGAGCTTCCCAGCAGCCTCGGTATAAAGGGAAAGTGGCATGGTCTGGATGGAAAGCAAGGGCATTCATTCAGAGACGTGGTTTTTCCTAGCACTAAATTCCTTCAGGGGACTTTGTCCCATGGGAGATGGGAGTGATGCTGGGCTGCAGGCTGTGCAGACAAGAAGTAGATTGGAACCCCGACTTGGGCCATAATGCCTGAGAGCAAAGTCTGGGCCCTGGGCATGCAACTTAGCTTTTCGTGCCTCAGTTTCCTTGCCTGTGAAATGAGGATGGTGGTGAAGCATTGCTCCCTCAAGTGCTTATTTCAAAGGGCAGCGGTGAAGTTTCAGATGGTTAAAGCTTATGAAACACTTCAGAAGCCTGGTTCATGGGAAGTGCCTTGTAAGAGGCTGCTAGGGATGGGGATGGCAGGTGTGTGGCTTGGCCTCCCTGGCCTCCTTGCTCCCACTCCCCTTCCCCATGCTCTGAGCCCCGGGCAGTCCTATCATGACTCCCAAATCCAGCGCAGAGCTGGCATGGGGCTCAGCACATGGAGATGTTCAGGACATCCCAGCCTCCAGCAGGAGACCCATGGTAGTCATTACAAGTGTATCAGCACTTTAGAAGCAGCATGTGCCAAGTGCCACTAGCCATGAAATGGTGCTGACCCCTCAAATTCCATTTGCTGTTGCTCATGCTGTTGCATGGACATTGTCCATTTCCTCGATTCTATGTAAAGTGCTCAGAAAATGAAACTCCAGCCTCTCCCCACCAGGCTCTGCCCCAAGAAGAGGGAGGAGGCATCAGAGAAGGCTTCTCAGGGGAGGTAACCCATGGACTGGGCTTTGAGGGATGGGGAGGAGGCATTTTCCAAGCAAAGACAGAGGGTCCTTCCTGCAGAGGGAAAATAATAAGTCAGGGCACTGTGGGGCTGTTTTCTGTGTGGCTGGAGTGTGCGGGGTTGGAAGATCAGGCTGGGAGGGGGTCCCAGGGGGCCAGGTCACAACACACGTTCAATGCCAGGGAAGCAAAGTCGGGCTTTATCTTGCAGGCAGTGGATGCCACAGGAGGGTTCTAGACAAGGGAGGTTGCAGCCAGAGCTGCTTTTGAGAAGGTGGTTCTGGCGGCTGGGAGGAGAGTGGATTGGAGGAAGACGCTGGAGGCAGGGAAGCTGGTGAGGAGGCTGCCACAACCCTACCGGCTCTGAGATGCTGACAGTGGGGAGGGGACAGAGAAAAGCTGAAGGCAATCCTGGTTAAGAGACGCTGCCAGCCCCGGCCTGCGCAGAGCACAAAGCTGATTTCCTAGGGCCTCGACCACGCCAGATCCTTCTCAGCGGTTAGGGCTTTACAGTTTGCCTCACAGGCGCTCAGTAAGTGCTTGTTTTATTAATGAAGGGAACATCATTTAATTAGCCACTAGCAGTGCAGAACGGCTGGCCAGGAAACCCTTCTTTGGAGTGGAGAGGAGAAACTTGAGGAGTGGTGATTAACGGGGTTTACTTTTCAGCAGTTAATGTGAACGTCTTCTGATTCTCTTCACGCAGGTCTTCTGAGGGTTCTAAGAGAGATTTCATTTCTAGGGCAAGAATGTGGTTGAGCCCTTATCTTATCCATAGCATGAGTTAAAGGTGGTCTCCAGTGCATGGATGGATTTGAACTAGGTCTGGAATCTGGGACGCTTTCTCCCACAGGAGCTGTGGGACGGGGGTGGCTGGGTTTGCAGAGCCTTCTGGGGTCCACGGGCCTGCGTGATTCCTGCCTTCCCTCCTCTCTATGGCCAGGCCTTGTGCTGGCCCGAGGAGGCAAATCTGACCTCGTGCAGCTGTGTTCCTGTTCTTGAAGATTTCCCAGACCAGCAGATGATAGTGACAGGGACAAGTGCGTTTCGGTGGTTTCGTAGAGGAGCTAATGTTAGTGTTGAGATTTCCTGCCCTCTCCCTTCCCTTCATTCATCCATCCATTCAACCTTGGTAGCCACACAAGGTGTGTAGCACAGGTTGTGTGCACAGATCCTGGGCCCAGCCTGCTGGGTCTGGACCCCTGTCCTACCAGTTACTAGCTGTGTGCTTCTGGACAAGTGATGTCACCTCTCAGTCTGTCTCCTTCTTCATCTGAAGAATGGGGATAAAAGATAGTTCATGGATTATTGTGAGGAGGAAGTGAGCTCATTAACCTCAAGTGCTGGAAACGGGGCGGCTTGTGGTAAAGGCGGCACAAGTGTTTTCTTGTTATTCTGAGCCCTGTGCTGGAACCAGCCTGCCCTCCAGGTCCTGTGGGGTGGCAGACGTGGACACACAGCCTGGGGGAACGTTACAGCTGCTCTGACCCTCAGGCTGCCCACCCCCACCGCCCCAGCCTCCACCCTTCCCAGGCCTGGTGCGCCCTCACCCATCCCCCAGTCCCACCCGGCCTCACCTGTCTTCCCGCAGGTGGGCAACCTGGGCCTCCTCTTCATGCTGCTCTTCTTCATCTATGCTGCCCTTGGGGTGGAGCTCTTCGGGAAGCTGGGTGAGTGACTCCCAGAGCAGGCCTGTGGTGGGGTGCAGCGGGGCTGCAGGATGACTTGGTGGAGCAGGGACCCCCAGCCTATCACATCAGGGTCTTTGTATTGAGGAGATGCCTACAGCAGGGCCCCCACCTGTCTGGTCTCCCAGGGAACCTGCCCTCCCTACCCCTGTAGTTGTTGCCTGTCTTGTGTTGGTGCCTGTCTTGAGCCAGCACCGCCCCAGCAAATGGAGAGGCCAGGGTGGGGGCAGAGGGCAACAGAGCACTTGCTGAGCTCTGCCCTGCACCGGGATGGCTCTGGAAAGCAGGGTTCCCTGACGGGCTGGCCCTCACCCCATTGCATCCTCTTTCTCAGAAACCCATTCTTTGGTCGGGGACAGAACTAGACTCACCCAAACCTGAGCCCCAGCTCATGCGCCATCTCCCCGAGCCTCAGTTTATCTGTGGGCTGGGCACAGTCTGTACGCCCCTCCTAGAGTGTGATGAGGGTTGAGGCAAGGTGGGAGGCACTGGGTCGGGGTGAGCCCCGCAGGTGCTTTGCCATCGGGCAGGGCTGACCTCCTCCCTGCTTTCAGTCTGCAACGATGAGAACCCATGCGAGGGCATGAGCCGGCATGCCACCTTCGAGAACTTCGGCATGGCCTTCCTCACGCTCTTCCAGGTCTCCACGGGTGACAACTGGAACGGGATCATGAAGGTACTCCCGGGTGGGCTGGGGTGGAGAAATCAGCCAGATGCTGGGACAGTGAGGACGCTGGTCCCGCTGCTCAGGGCTGTGCCCACCCAGGGCCCCACCGCACAAGGGAGGGGCATGCAGGGCACGGAGGAATGGAGGGGCCTGCCCGGGACCAGCACAGTGGGGAGAGCTGAGCCATAACAGGCCCCTTGTCTACCACTGTCCCATCCCCCAGTGTTGCCTAAGATTGGGGCTCAGATTCTAGGGGAGACAACTCCACCCGGTTCCAGGGGGTACCTGGGGCCCAGGCAGGCCCGAAGGCCAGGGCCAGGCCCCTTAGTGACTGCCGCACCGACCAGGTCACCCGGCAGAGGCTCCCTAGACTGGGCTGCAACCCGGGCTGGGCTGGGAAGGGCAGGGAGGGGCTCCCGGAGGACAGGGGTGAGGCCTCGGTTCCGGGGCCCGAAGGTGGAGAGGGCAGTGATAGGCCTCTCACCCCCACCCTGCAGAGCCCCCAGTCCCCCAGCAAGGGGGCAGGAAGCCGGGGGCTAGGAGAGGTGGCCACTCTCCTCGGCCCAGGGCGGGAAGGTGGTGGAGTCTTCTTGGGCTTTGTGGGTGGGGGTTGAGCTGAAAAACCAGAAAGGAAGGACAGGGAGGCCCTGGTCCCGAATGCACCCTACTCCCCAGATGCCCCTGAAGGAAGCCCCAGATGCCCCTTCTCAGGCCTGACTGTGTCCCAGGGAAGCAGGCCAGCTGTGGGGAGGGTGATGTGGGTGGGAGCAAGAGAGGAGGAGAGGGTGCTGGGCCATCGTCTGTCCATGCGGGGACTTAGCTGAAGCTGAGGCAGGCAGATGCTGCCACAAGGCAGAGTGGGGCAGGGCAGCCAGGGCCATCTCGGGGGTTGAATCTCAGTCTTGCTGCCTCCGCGCGTGGCCCTGGGCTGGCCTCTTCCTCCAGCAGCCTCTGGGATGTCCTCCTCCTCATCCTCGTCCTCTCCGCCCTCCCCACCGCGCAGGACACGCTGCGGGACTGCACCCATGATGAGCGCAGCTGCCTGAGCAGCCTGCAGTTTGTGTCGCCACTGTACTTCGTGAGCTTCGTGCTCACCGCGCAGTTCGTGCTCATCAACGTGGTGGTGGCTGTGCTCATGAAGCACCTGGACGACAGCAATAAGGAGGCGCAGGAGGACGCCGAGATGGATGCCGAGCTCGAGCTGGAGATGGCCCACGGCCTGGGCCCCGGCCCGAGGCTGCCTGCCGGCTCCCCGGGCGCCCCTGGCCGAGGGCCGGGAGGGGCGGGCGGCGGGGGCGACGCCGAGGGCGGCTTGTGCCGGCGCTGCTACTCGCCTGCCCAGGTGGGCAGGGGCTGGAGCGGCGCGAGGGTCGCCAGAGGGGGGGGCACTGCAGGGCTAGATGGGCAGCGGGGCCAGGGAGGCCTTGCACAGAGACCTCTGTCTTTCTGGGCCCCACCCTGCTCAGCTCCATAGAAGGGGTGACCCTGTGATGAGGGGGTCGGTCCCAGGCCATGGGTGCAGAGAACCAACCGGGAGGGCAGCTGTGTCCTGCCCACCCCGCAGCCCCGGGACCCGGCTGATAATCCCGCCTGTCCCCACCCCGTCCCCGTCCGCCTAGGAGAACCTGTGGCTGGACAGCGTCTCTTTAATCATCAAGGACTCCTTGGAGGGGGAGCTGACCATCATCGACAACCTCTCGGGCTCCATCTTCCACCACTACTCCTCGCCTGCCGGCTGCAAGAAATGTCACCACGACAAGCAAGAGGTAATGGCAGCCCGGGAGGCCCAGCCCCTTGTGGCGGGGCAGCACGAAGCCTGGTGGGGGGCCTGCCCGAGGGCAGAGCCTGGCTCTGGGCCGTAGAGACCAGGCTGGGTCAGTGTGGGCACACGTAGCTTCCATGGCCTGGACAGATGGGCTCCCTGAGCCAGGGCCAGGTGTGGGCCTGTGGTGTGGTGGCTGCAGCTACTGACCCCAGCACCGTGCCGCACACAGTAGGTGCTTGGGTAGGGCAGCTGCCCCACCTTGTGTATTGCAGGTGCCAGGCAGGGAGCCTGTGTGTCACTTGCAGGACAGCTTGCCCTTTCTGTGACATGAAGGGGTCATCTGCCCGCTCTTCCCCCAGGGCATCATCCTGGCATTCAACCTCCTCCAGGTGCCCTGCCCTGGTCTCCAGCTCGGGGCTTAGGCCCACCCAGCTCAGGGGTTCCCATGGGTCCACCTCCAGTGCAGGCGCAGGCAGCCCCCTCCCCTCTCCCCAGCAGTGTGGGCCCCTGAGCTCTCCCTGGGGTGCTCCAGCCCCCAGGGTGGCCCCAGCCTCAGGTGGCTGCAGGGCGGGTCCCCAGGAGCCGTCAGCAGGAGCTGGAAGTCTGGGCTGCCCCACACCCCTGCCCTGTGGTGGCTGCAGATTCTCCAGTGTCTCTGGGCCCCACAGTGTCCCCTGCCTGTGACACGCTGTGCAGGTTGTCCACACAGGGCCATAGATGAGTCAAGTCTGGCCCAGTCTTGATGGGCACTTGGTCTGGGGGCAAGCAGACAGCTGTGGAGTTCACAGCCCATGGCAACTCACCTGCCCTCGGGCCCAGATAGCAAGATGGGCCTCTCAGGGCTGGCTTCCACTGGAGGTGACCGCTGTGTCGCCATTGCATACCGCCCAGGCTGGGCCCCTGCACAGGATGGATACATCATCCGTGCCCAGCAGGTGTCTGGACCTTTCTGACCACTGCTTGGCCTCTCTTCAGAGCCTCAGGCCTGTGGCTGCACGCCCCAGGACCCAGGCCTGCCCATCCCAACACTGTGGTGACCTGAGGCCACCCCCTCTTCCTGCAGGTGCAGCTGGCTGAGACGGAGGCCTTCTCCCTGAACTCAGACAGGTCCTCGTCCATCCTGCTGGGCGACGACCTGAGCCTTGAGGACCCCACAGCCTGCCCACCTGGCCCCAAAGACAGCAAGGTGAGCTCCCCTGGGGACTCCTGAGCAGGCGGGTCTGTCCTTGAAGCCTGGCCCCTGCCCACCCAGGCAGGAACCCCCTGTCTTTCCAGTCTACCATGTAAACGACACCCACTGTGTGCTAGGCCTTCATCTCCTGTTGGACAGATGAGGGCAGTAGGGCTCAGAGAGGTGGAGTGATTTGCCTGAGGTCACACAGCCACAAGCCCAGCCAGCGATCCAACCTGGCACTCAGCAGCACTGGCTGCTTCTTGTTGCTTTGAGTATTTTTTGGTCCATTCCATGGGGGTCATCCCTGGCTGGCAGGGCTGTGAGGCCGAAGTGAACGGGGGAGTCGTGTCAGGCAAAGCACCTACTCTGTGCAGGCGCTCTGCCCGTGCCAGCTTTGTCCACCCCACAGCTCTGTGCAGCAGGCATGATTCGTCCTCACTTCACACGTGAGGAGATGGGGCTTCCAAGAAGTGGGGTGATGCTCACATCACACAGCCAGGAATGACAGAGCAGGAAGCCACCCCTGAGGCTGGGCCCCAAACCTCTGCACCCCAGGGGGTCAGTCTGAGGAGGCCTGCAGGCCAGGAAGGGCCCCTTGCTGATCCTGCAGTCTTAGGGGGTGAGACCTCAAGACCGGGGCTCCTGATCTCAAGGTCAAGGTGGTCCTGCCCTGCTGGGGGTGGGGGGTATAAGGGACAGCTGGGGGATACCCTGGGCTTGGCACCTCTGCCCCCTAGGCTGGCCCTCCATCAGCTCAGGGTAGGTTGCGGGGTGAGTTCTTCCTATCCCTTCCATGTCATTTCGGTCCCCTCCCTGATGGCTCACAGTTGCTGCAGCTCCCTGTACCCCCACACTGCTCTTCTACAAAGGATATCAGGGTGCACAGTTTTTGGGACTCAGCTGGACTTGGGCAGGGTACAGTCTTTTGTGCCAGACTCAGCAAGTCATCGGAGGTTAGGGTGGCGCGAATGCATCTGCCTTGGAGGGGGCACTAAGGCAGCTCTTCTGGGAAGGGGTCACTATGGTCTACAGGCCTGAGGAATGTGGGGGCCAGAGAATGCCTAGGAAGGCAGGCATCACTCTCCTCGGATGCAGAAACATGCTCAGCAAAGGGAAGGGACCCCCCCAAGGTCATGCTCACGGGACAGTCTGGCCACTCAGCCTGTCTTCTGATGCCTTCACCAGCCTTGACCTGGCTTCTTCACTGGCCCAGGGTCTGTACCAGGGGAAGTCACTAACTGCCTGGGGCATCCAGTGGGGCATTCGGAGGGGGATTCCTTTCACTGGGGTTTGGGAAGATGGTCAGGTAGAGGAGGTGAGAGGAAGGTCAGACTAGCCATGAGGGTAGCCTAGTTAAGCGAGGGCCCGTGGAGCAGGTCATGAGGGCAGCTGTCCCCGCCCCCCTAGTCCTGCCCCATCCTACCTCCCTTTCCTTGCAGGGTGAGCTGGACCCACCTGAGCCCATGTGTGTGAGAGACCTGGATGAATGCTTCTTCCCCTTGTCCTCTACGGCCGTCTCACCGGGTCCAGAGAACTTCCTGTGTGAGATGGAGGAGATCCCATTCAACCCTGTCCAGTCCTGGCTGAAACATGACAGCAGTCAAGGTGAGGGGTGGGAGCCCTGCCAGCTCCCCGCAGCCCTCATCTTGGGCGTCTGCTTCAGAGGGAGATGGTTGAGTTTTTTCCTTAGTATTTTTACCCAGATTATTATATTTAGTCCAGAAAGAACCAGATGGATATCTGACAATGAGAGATAGACTCTCAGGCCTGATATAACAATGATAAAAGATCAAGAGCCAAATAGTACAAAAAGATGAGATAATTATAACAAAAACCTAAGCATCTAAAGGAAGCTTCATGCTAAGCTTCCTAGGAGCCATAGTGAAAAGGGAAAGAGGTGGGTACACACGGCTCTCATATCAAGCAGAAGGAAAGCTGCCAGATTATTGTGTTTTTCTAGAGCTGAATTAGAGAGGTGTGTAGCCCACAGATCTTCATATACATGGGATGTTAAACATAGGAAAGCCTGGTGTCTTCAATAGCCCTTTTGCAAATTCCTGATACTTATCCTTCAGCTCTACCCACAGTGCTCTGTTTGTGCTTTGGGCCCGTGGCTGGGCTCTGGGCACAGGGCCAGGGGACTAAGCTGGCCTGCCATCACGGGTTCATCTTTACTGTGGTCCTCATGGAGGGTGGCAGGAACCTGGTTTCACAGCACTGGCTATGGAGGGAGGCAGAGAGATGAGGAGCCCAGCAGAAGAGGGACACCCAAGACTCTGAGCCCACCCCAAGTACCCTTCGGGGACGCCTCCCAGGAGCCAGACATGGGGTGACTTTCCTGGGCACCCTCCCTAAAGCTGATGGGCTTTCAACTGGCCAGGGTGGCTGAGGTGCAAAGATCCCAGACTTCCCAAACCAGAAGTCAGGGCACAGGGCTGACCCGAGAGCCATTCTGGTGGAATGCAATCTCATTCCCTTTAGCCAACCATTTATTTACGTTTTCCTTAAATGGTAAGATGGTATGGCATAGGATCCCCAGCCGGGACATTCAGACTGTCCAGCTGTCTTGGGTACATTCTTCCATTATCTCACCCTCAGCCCCCCAAGGTGTGGAGGGGATGGTGGGCAGAGGCTGCTGCTCCCCCCCCACGCCCCCCACACCCAGACCTGCCCCAGCCCTCAGACCCCCACCCCCGTCTCCGTCCCCCACTGTGTGGAGCCAACCAGGCCAGACTGACCTGCCATCCAGTGCAGCGCCTGACCCGGGGCTGGGACGCCCCAACCCACCTGCTGTCCCACAGGGGCCCCCAGGCCTGGCCAGGCTGCATGGTGGGGTCAGGACCCGGGGATGACTGATCCTAGTGAGCACCTACTGTGTACTTGGTACTGAGCTGGGAGCTTCCAGCTGTTTCTTCTCCTGATGACCCTCAAGATGGCATCTTGTTCCCTTTTACAGAGGAAGAGACCTAGGCTTGAGCCCGGGTCTGCTTGCCTCCAAAAGCTGTGTCTTGCCCAGGGCCCCTGCCCCCTGGAATCAAAAGGGCTGGTTCAGGATTTCTCTCTTGCTCTCACAATGGGGAAACAAAGGTTTAGAGGGGGGGACTTGCCCACGGTCTCACAGTCAGTTTATTAGGTGGCTCCTCCCTGCTGGCCCAATGAGATTGGTGCTCAATGCCACCTCCCAGGGACTGCCCCCTGGCCTGAGTGTGCTCCGTCAGCTCTGTCTCCTCCTTTCCCAGCAGCACCCCCAAGTCCCTTCTCCCCGGATGCCTCCAGCCCTCTCCTGCCCATGCCAGCCGAGTTCTTCCACCCTGCAGTGTCTGCCAGTCAGAAAGGCCCAGAAAAGGGCACCGGCACTGGGACCCTCCCCAAGATTGCGCTGCAGGGCTCCTGGGCATCTCTGCGGTCACCAAGGGTCAACTGCACCCTCCTCCGGCAGGTACCGGCACCTCCCAGGCTCCAGAGCACTGGTCTGTAGGCAAGGGGCAGGATCTAAGCCAGGCCTCGAAGTCCGAGGGACTGGGAGGGGAAGGACCCAACCAAAGGCCCAGGGCACCACCATGCAAGGAGGTTTGGGAACGCTGGGGTGATGCTGAGACTGGAGCAGGAGGTGGCACTGGGGCAGACGGGAGTGGGCAGAGCTGGGTCCTGGGGACAGCAGAGTGTAGGGAGGACCCCGAGGGGGGTCTGGAAGAGGCCTGTGATACCTAGCTTGAGGGGAGGGGAGGAGGAGGAGTACTGGAGGTTTTGCAGGGTGGCGGGGTGCTGGCGGTGGGGAGGATACCCTGGGTTATCTGGGTGGGTGTGAGTGGGGGCTTACTAGGAATGGAGGTGGGAGGGCGGGTCTGGTGGATGAGAAGCCTCGGCCTGCAGGGTCCCCTGTACTGGATTGGCCAGGGCCACAGCCCTCCTACCCAAGAGAGCACTGAGGGCTCTGTTGCGGGGGTGGGGAAATGGGGTCGAGCCGGCTCCCACAGTACGGTGACTGTGGTTGATTCACTGGGTGACTGTGGGACCCAGTCCTAGCAGGCTGTGTGGCCTGGCGGGCAGGATACAAACTCCCTGCCTGCTGAGCTCACCGTTTAGTGCTGAGAGTGAGCTGCAGGGGTGCAGTAAAGTCTACTCCATGGTGGACAGGCAGGGAGAACAGCTCCTGGGGAGGGGCTGGAGGTGGGGGCTGGGATGTGGGGGGCCCTGGTGCTGGGAGGTGGGAGCTGGGGAGCTGGGCAGCTGGGAGGTGGGGGGCCCTGGTGCTGGGAGGTGGGAGCTGGGCAGCTGGGAGGTGGGGGGCCCTGGTGCTGGGAGGTTGGGAGCTGGGGAGCTGGGCAGCTGGGAGGTGGGGGGCCCTGGTGCTGGGAGGTTAGGAGCTGGGGAGCCGGGGAGCTGGGCAGCTGGGCGGTGGGGGACCCTGGTGCTGGGAGCTGGGGAGCTGGGTAGCTGGGAGGTGGGGGGCCCTGGTGCTGGGAGGTTGGGAGCTGGGCGGCTGGGAGGTGGGGGCTGGGCGGCTGGGATATGGGGGGCCCTGGTGCTGGGAGGTGGGAGCTGGACAGCTGGGAGGTGGGGGTCCTGGGGCCGGGAGGTGGGGGCCAGGGGCCGGAGCAAGTGGGAGGGACCGGAACCAGTGAGAGCAGCCAGGGCAGGGGCCGCCTCAGGACCATGGGGGCTGTGGTGGGGGTGCCACGTGCCCTGGGGGAGGGCGGTGGGCCCAGGGCTTCCCCTTGGAGTGAGCCTGGAGCCTTCCGTGAAGGGCAGGGCCGGGTTTGACCTGGGTTTGAGGCGGGTGCTAGCTCCTTTCAGGGGACCTCTCGGGGCAGGTGCAGGCCCTGTGGTGACTGCCGCCTAAGCTGGACGTGCAGAGGGGAGAATCCCTGCTCCAAAGGGAGCTCCTTGGATGGGGGCTGCCTGCTGTGCCGGGGAGGGAGGCGTCCAGGTTGCTGGGGTGGGGGCAGACCCAGGCGGCCTCCACCGCTCCCACCTCCCCCCAGGCCACCGGGAGCGACACGTCGCTGGACGCCAGCCCCAGCAGCTCCGCGGGCAGCCTGCAGACCACGCTGGAGGACAGCCTGACCCTGAGCGACAGCCCCCGGCGAGCCCTGGGGCCGCCCGCGCCTGCTCCGGGACCCCGGGCCGGCCTGTCCCCCGCCGCGCACCGCCGCCTGAGCCTGCGGGGCCGGGGCCTGTTCAGCCTGCGGGGGCTGCGGGCGCATCAGCGCAGCCACAGCAGCGGGGGCTCCACCAGCCCGGGCTGCACCTACCACGACTCCATGGACCCCTCGGACGAGGAGGGCCGCGGCGGCGCGGGCGGCGGGGGCGCGAGCAGCGAGCACTCGGAGACCCTCAGCAGCCTCTCGCTCACCTCCCTCTTCTGCCCGCCGCCCCCGCCGCCGCTCCCCGGCCTCACGCCCGCGAGGAAGTTCAGCAGCACCAGCAGCCTGGCCGCCCCCGGCCGCCCCCGCGCCGCCGCCCCGGCCCACGGCCTGGCCCGGAGCCCCTCGTGGGCCGCGGACCGCAGCAAGGACCCCCTGGGCCGGGCACCGCTGCCCATGGGCCTGGGCCCCTTGGCGCCCCCGCCGCAACCGCTCCCCGGAGAGCTGGAGCCGGGAGACGCCGCCAGCAAGAGGAAGAGATGAGGGTCGCAGGGGCCCCCGGCCGCCCACCGCCCGCCCCGTCTCACCTTTTTTACCTCAGGAGCCAGGAGCAGACAGCAATACTTCGTCCACACCTGGGATCGCGCAGGGCCCGCCGGGCACAGGCGCCCGTCAGCCGGGCTGAGCGGAGTCTGGGTTAGCCAGGCCTGCGTGGCCCATGGTGGCCCTTCCAGTGCATATATATACATATATATATGCGTATATATACACACACACACACACATAGACAGACATATATATATATATTTATTTTTTTTACTGAGAGCTTATGACTTCCAGAAAGTGCTAAAGGTGGGAGGTGGGCCAGGGCCTGGACGGGGCTTTTGTCTGACGCTCTGGAATTCAGGCCAGACCCACCCCAGGGCACATGTCCTGCCGGGGCGTCGCAGCTGTGTTTTTTGATGTCTCCTCCCGGGTTGAGAGTAGCTTGGAGAGGACCCTCAGGCCTCTGAGGGCACCAGGCCCGGGAGAAGAGGTGCAATTCAGGGTGTGTTTTCTTTTTCTTTTTTTTCTTTTAAAGAAGAAACGCTGCTAAGATCCCCCGTGGCTCCCACGCGTCGGGGTGTCTGTCCTGTCATCCTGACCGTCTTGTTGTTGTGAAGTCTTTTGTAGACACCCCAGAGCACACACATACCCTTAGTACACGGGTTAGATGTCTCTTTAGAAAAATCAGGGGTGAGTAGCTGTGTTTCCTTAGGACCGTGGTGGGGGGTGGAGGGCAGCTCCGAGGCTGGGCTGGGGCTCTGGCCCCAGGGGAGGTGCCAGCTCCTGAGTACTTCTGAGGGGGTGGGTTCCACCCCAGGAGGGTGGGGTTGGGTGGAGCAGGAGTGGAAGCCGCTTGGAGATGCCAGGGTACCTGCCTGGTCTCGGCTGGCTCTGGCTGCCCTGCAGGTGCCCTTGGGCTCAGGCAGTTAGTTGTTCAGTCACTTATGCCTTTTATCCCCAATATGGGCCCTGAGCTGTGGCTGTCCCTGGACGCTGTGCTGTCCCCGTCCTGAGCAACTATGCCCCCGCCCCAGTGGGTTCAAGGCAAAGCAGCTCTGACCGAATTCTAGGCAGGGGTGGGGGCACCTGCCTGGGCCCTGGGTCCAGCCGCATCCCCACGCCCAGCCTTTTGCGTCACCTGGAGGCCACATTCTCCGACCCCACCTCCCCGCCCCTGTCTCTCCTCCCTGCCCCTGTCTCTCCTCCCCGCTGCCCCTAACTGCAGGTCAGCTTTCACTATAGTAGTGCTTCCCAAACGGGTTATAGATGGGGGTGTTTGATTTGAAGAGTTACGCATTTATTTCACTATTTATTAGAAAAAAAAATACATTGAACCCGTGATTTCACAGAGATTTTGCTTAGGTCAAGGCTACTTTTTAAAAAGGGAGTGACTTTCATGAAGTCAGTTTGAAGGAGGAGGTTGGGAGCACGTTGGTGGCGGTGGTCTGGAGAGGCTGCAGAGGCCACGAGTTTGGAGCTGCTGTGCTTCAGCAATAACCTTGCCTTTGTTAAGACCCCCCCTTTGCCTTTGCTAAGACCCCCTCTGAGGGCTTCATGGGGGCCTGCTGAGGGGCAGCCTTGTCCTTTTTCCCAAACTCTGACTTGGAAGAACTCAGCTCGTGGCCAGGCTGGTGAGGGTGTGGGGTGCCCCTTGGAGGGGTTCTGGGTGTCTTCCAGGCTGGCACAGGGACCCTGGGGGAGGTGGTGGGCAATGTGTGCTTTGTCACATGCAGAGACCTTTTGGGCTGAGGGAGAGCGGTCCAGGAGGGGTTGTCAAGCCCACCTGGGAAACTGAGCCCCGGAGAGGGGAAGTGGCCAGCCCAGGATCCTTCAGGGCCCTAGCAGCAAAGAAGCTGGGGTGGTGTGGAGGGCCCCACTCCATACCCTAGGGCTGTGATGCTGAGCAAGGTGCCTGCGGCGGGAGGAACTGCCCAGTCCTCCCTGCGGGGCAGGTAGACCTGTGAGGATGGCTGGGTCCAAGCCCAATGCTGACCCCTCCAAAGAGCCTCGGCCCTGCCTCCCTTTCCACGGAGGTGGTTTTATGTGGAGCGAGCTACGTTGTCTGGGGAAGAAGTGTCTGGGTGGGCTTACCTGCTCCTGGCTGACCCTGAGCACGCGCAGTTGGAGGGAGGCAGACAGACTTGACTTTTTGCAAGTCCTTGTGTTGCTGGAGGGACATGTGTGTTGGAGCCCAGAAGAGGGGCTGTGTGACCTGGGAAGACCATGTGGAAGGTTGGGCTTCAAATTGGCAGGATCAGACGCCGGTCCAGCAGCCTTGGGTCATCTTGTGACTCTGCTGAGCATCCTTTCCTGCTGTTACATGGGTTCAGAGCAGCTGCGTGGGGAACACATCCTAGGCAGGTCTGATGTGAAACCTCCCCTTGCCCTGAACCATGTGGCTCTGGAACAAGCAGACACCTCGGGGCAGGTGTTCTAGGCAAAGGGATGGGCATGAGCGAAGGCTCCAGGGCCCACAGAGCGGGGCGTGTGGAGAAGTTAAAAGAGCTGAGCTCAGAGGCAGAGAAGCTCCTTGCAGGGAGCAGTGGGAGATGGCCAGGCTCCTGGAGGCCCCACCTGCCGATCCCAGACACTTGGCCTTGTTCTTGTGGGTGACAGAGATGGGGAACCAGGGAAACTGTGATCTACTGGCCAGCACAAGTCAGAATGGGTGAGGGTTGGGCAAAGGGCCCTTCCTTCCTCCTCAACCCTGTGGTCTGGGGCCATGGCCTCAGGCCTGTGTCTATCACAAAAGCACAAATTTGCCCTAACCCACATGGGCCTGGCAGTGGGGAAGGTGGGGACGCAGGTCCCTGAGCTGTCTCTGCTGCTCCATAGGGTGGTGATGGGCAGGCACCTTGGCATCTGTGCAGAGACAACCCAGTCTAGCCAAACCCTCTTTGTCTCCTCTGCTCTACCTTCTCCTGTACCAGGCAGCCCCTTAAAGGAGGACAAAGCGTGTAAAGCCCGTCTGCCTGTCTTCCCCCATATCCTCAGCTCGGAGCCTTCCGCTTCCAGGGCCAACCCCAGCCCCCTTTGCTGCGTTGTGTAAGGGCTTGGGGTCATAAGAGCTGCTCTTTAGCCCAGATACACATACTCTTTTTTGTCTTTGTGCAATAATCCGTGTTCCTGGCAGAGCCTGGGCCAAGCTGCAGCCTACTGAGGAGGTAGAGGCCACCTCCTCCAGGAAGCCCTCGGCCTGGGCCGCCACCGTGACTCTAGCACTCTCAGTCGCTGTACAGTTTCTATGGTGTGAATGAACTTCCCTCCTAGTTGCTGATGGCGCTGGTACCTGCTGGCCCAGATGGCCCGGGTGTAGAGAAACCAAGCGGCAGCCACCACCAGTGTTGTTTTGAATAAAAGCCCAGAAGCCTATTTAAGAATTTCTCCGTGTGTCTCTGCTGTTCTTTCCCCGGTGGGGTGGGTGTCAAGCTGGGGCTTCTCTCAAGGGAGGGGTGGCGGTTCTCCTCCTCCATGTTCAGGTGTGGGGCTGGGGCATCGGGGACCTAGAACAATGCTCATGGCAGGGTGCTCTCATGGCCGCTGGGTGGGTGGGGGCCTGTGGAGCTGGGGAGGAGGCAGGCCTGGTTCCCACGCTCTGCTGCTGTGGCTGAGGTGCTGGCCCCGGGCAAGAAGGTCACATGGGAAGAATAATCTCCTCATCCTTTGGCACTGTCTATTTCGTTTTCTTTCTTTTCTTTTCTTTCTTTCTTTTTTTTTTTTTGAGACGGAGTCTCGCTCTGTTGCCCTGGCTTGAGTGCAATGGTAAGATCTCAGCTCACTATCGTGTCAGCCTCCTGAGTAGCTAGGATTACGGGTGCCTGCTATCATGCCTGGCTAATGTTTGTATTTTTAGTAGAGACAGGGTTTCACCACATTGGCCAGGCTGGTCTCGAACTCTTGACCTCAGGTGATCCACTTGCCTCGGCCTCCCAAAGTGCTGGGATTACAGGCGTGAGCCACCGCACCCGGCCTACACTGTCTGTTTCTTGAGCGAGTCTCCATCAGATTGGACTGACCCAAGGACGGGGACCGTGTTTACTTCTCCCGCCCGTAGCCCGGTGCTGGTTGAGCTTCAGCAAATGTCAGCTCCGTGGCTGTGTTTTGGAAGCAGAAGGGATTTCAAAGACCAACTAATGCCTTCTCTTATTTTTCCACTTGAGGAAACAGGCCTGGAGAGGCTGCAGGGTGTGGTCTGGGCCGCACAGCGAGGCAGAGGGTAGGGGTGATGGGCACCCGCTTGCCACCTCCACAGCCGGAGGCACAGCCCCTGGGGAGGAGAGCCCTGATTTGTGTTCCTCTCTCTTCCCCGTTAATAATGGGATTAAAAGCAAGTTGCTGCCAAGGAGAGAGACTGGCTTAAAAAAATACATAACCCAAGAACATTTTAAGAGAATGAAAAACTTCAGCCATCAGCACTTTTTATTTAGACCTGAATTCATGAATTTTAACCAAATAAACACAGGCATGTTAGGTATTAATATATGTACGATTATGCAAAACCACTATTATGGCTGTAATGAAAATTAGATTCTAACGCTTGTGGTGTTCCAGGAGGGAGGCATCCACCGGTTTCTAGCGCGGTGACCTCGGATTGCTGTCACCATGGTAACAGGCTGCCGTGGGAATCTGTGGACGCCCGGCTGGTCCTGTCGGGAGGGGTGGGGGTAGGGCCAGGCCGGGCTGGTGCGGATTTGCCGGCCCCCATCTGGGCAGAGTGGGGGCACTTTGTCCCCTGGGCAGAGGCCAGCCTGAGCCTCAGAGGAAAGGGGGCCGGTCATCAGCAGGAGGAGATTGGTGGGGCAGAAATAGCAGGTACACTGGGCCCCGCCCCACTCACCCTCATCTTCCTGTTCCCCCTCAGGCTGCCCCTCCAGGGAGGCGTCCGTGTCATCTTCAGTAAATCGTGGCTGCACACCCACACACGCCCAGCCTCTGCTAGGTGCTGGGGACACAAGGATGATGGGGCCCTGTGCTCATGGAGCCCGCACCTCAGAGTGGGAGAAAGATCCCAGACAGACAGGCACACAGCTGGGCCATTTCAGAGCCTGCAAGTGTCATGAAGGCAGCAGAGCCGGTGGAGTGACCGTGATTGGGGCTGGGGGTGGGGGTCTTCCTGGCTGGGTGGTCCGGGAGGCCTGGCTGGGGATTCCTGAAGAACCAGAGGCGAGAGCCTTGCCAAGGCAGTGACCACCCCTTTCCAGATGAGAGGCAGGAGCCTCAGAGGGCAGCGTCCAGATAAGACCCAGGGCACCTGGCTACATGAGAACATCAGACACGCCAGGAACACGTTTACAGCGTGAGCAGGTCCCATGCGGTATTTGGGACATATTCACACTAAAAAGTTATTTGTTGCTTTATCTGAAATTCTTATTTAACTGGCTGTCCTTATTGTTTGCGAAGTCGGCAAACCTGTCAGAGAGTGGGGTGTGACTTCCCTGGGCCATGAGCGGCCGTACCCTGCCCAATAGCCTGCCCGGCACCCCTGCCCCATGGCCTGCCCGGCACCCCTGCCCCATGGCCTGCCCGGCACCCCTGCCCCATGGCCTGCCCGGCACCCCTGCCCCATGGCCTGCCCGGCACCGCTGCCCGATCGCCTGCTCGGCACTCCTGCCCCATGGCCTGCCTGGCACCCCTGCCCTGTCCTCCTGGGATACTGCTTTTGGTCGCCCGCCAACCTTGCCCCCGCAGTCCCTTCTCACTGGAAGCCTGGCGAAGGGGAGACATCAGCGGGCCACCTCTGCAGCTCAGCCCAGTGGTTCCATGGCTCCTGGGACCTGCCTGATGCCTGCAGGGCTCTGGGCATTCCCGTCCTCACCCACTGCCCAGCGTGGCTTCATGGACTAGCCATAGCCATGCTGACCTGCCCTGCTCTGCCCTTCTCCCACCTCTGCTGGGCTCTTCACCCTTCAAGCCCCCACTTAGGCGTCACTGTCTCGACACACTTCCCTGTCACTCCAGACCGTTCCCACCCTCTGACTCTGAGCTCCTCCCTGAAAAAAATTAGCCATTTAAGAAACTGTGGTGAAGTATACACAAATGATGTGAAATTTACCATTTTAACTCTTATTAAGTGTAGAGTTCAGTGGCATTAGGAATGTTGCTAGACACTTCTCAAAAAAAAATACGAAAAAAAATTCATCATCACTGGTCATTAAAGAAATGCAAATCAAAACTGCAATGAGACACCATCTCATGCCAGTCAGAATGGTGATCGTTAAAAAGTCAGGAAACAACAGATGCTGGCGAGGCTGTGGAGAAATAGGAATGCTTTTACACTGATGGTGGGAGTGTCAGTGAGTTCAACCATCGTGGAATCCAGTGTGGCCATTCCTCAAGGATCTAGAACCAGAAATACCATTTGACCCAGCAATCCCATTACTGGGTATATTCCCAAAGGATTATAAATCATTCTACTATTAAGACATATGCACACATATGTTTATTGCAGCACTATTTATAATAGCAAAGACTTGGAACCAACCCAAATGCTCATCAATGACAGACTGGGTAAAGAAAATGTGGCACGGCCAGGCATGGTGGCTCAAGCCTGTAATCCCAGCACTTTGGGAGGCCGAGACGGGTGGATCACGAGGTCAGGAGATCAAGACCATCCTGGCTAACACGGTGAAACCTCGTCTCTACTAAAAAAAATACAAAAAAACTAGCCGGGCGAGGTGGTGGGCGCCTGTAGTCCCAGCTACTCGGGAGGCTGAGGCGGGAGAGTGGCGTGAACCCGGGAGGCGGAGCTTGCAGTGAGCCGAGATCCCGCCACTGCACTCCAGCCTGGGCGACAGAGCAAGACTCCGTCTCAAAAAAAAAAAGAAAAAAAAAAAAAAGAAAATGTGGCACATATACACCATGGAATACTATGCAGCCGTAAAACATAATAAGTTCATGTCCTTTGCCAGGGACATGGATGAAGCTGGAAATCATCATTCTCAGCAAACTAACACAGGAACAGAAAACCAAACACTGCATGTTCTCACTCATAAGTGGGAGTCGAACAACGAGAACACATGGACACAGGGAGGGGAACATCACACACTGGGGCCTGTCAAGGGGGTAGGGGCCAAGCAGAGGGAGAGCATTAGGACAAATACCTAATGCATGAGGGGCTTAAAACTTAGATGACGGGTTGATGGGTGCAGTAAACCACCGTGGCACATGTATACCTATGTAACAAGCCTGCACGTTCTGCACATGTATCCCAGAAGTTAAAAAAAAAAATGTTCCTAATGTTGTGTGACCGTCACCACTGCCCATCACCAGAACTCTCCATCTTGCAAAAGCAAAACCCTTGGTACACGTTAAACAGGAACTCCCATTCTCCAGACCCTGGCAGCCACCGTGCCACTGTCTCCGTGAGTGTGACCACGCCAGGAACTGCGTGAGTGGGGTCACACGGTATTTGTCCTTTTGTGACTGCTGATTTCACTTAGCACAAGGTCCTCGAGGTTCACGCATGCTGTAGTGCGTGTCGGACTTTTCTTCCTTCTTCAGGCCCAGTGGGATTCCCGTCGCGTGTCTAGACCGCACTGTGCTTGGATCCACCCGTTGAGAGGCCCCTGGTTGCTTCTACCTTTCGGATACTGTAAGGAGTGTCACTGTGACCCTGGGTGTGCCAGTGGCTCCTGAGTCCCTGCGTTCACCTCTGTTGGGTGCATCCCCAGTGGTGGCGTGGCTGGGGCAGGCGGTGATTCTGGGTTAAAGTGTCTGAGGACCTGCCGTGCTTTTCTCCAGGGTGACAGGCTCCCCATTCCCTTTGGCGATTCAATTCTTTGTGAGGCTGGATTGACCCTTGGAAGGGTGATGTGCAGTGGGGTTTTTGCCTCTCATTTCTTCCTCTTTCCATCTCCCCCTCCTCTCTTTCTGGCACACTCTTGCTGTGTGGTCCTCGAGCCGTCCTGACCTTTGTTTCCAAAAGCCCAAAGAAAATCTTGGAGAGTGCGGAAAAGAGAGGAGGGAGTTTGCAACCAGGAGGAGGAGAGAGGGGCTGGCGCCCAAGAGGAGTGGCCCTGAGGCTCCGCCTGGGCAGAGCGGTTCCCTGGGCCACTTGTGGTCTGGAAGAAGCCAGGGCCACTGGCAAGAGGGGTGCATGTCTTAGGCCACAGGACTCGGCTACAGGGCCCTGTGTAGTGCCCTGGCACAGTGTGAGGAGGCATAGCCTGGAGGGGCGGCCTGAGAAAGAGCCGGGCTGATGGATGGGGGCAGAGAGGTGGCTGGGTCTCTCTGAGCTCCTGGGCTGGGAGGCACCCTGCCCCGCTGAAGGGTCTGCTGCACCCACTCCCCAGCTGGACGGGGCCCAGGCCCCTCCTGAGCAGGGAACTGCCAGGCCACATGCAGCTCCCACCACCCTGCCTACAGCTCCCGGGCTGCGGCCCCGGCCCTCCTCATCTCCAGGACTGGCCCTGAGCTCCAGGAAGAGGCTTCTGTGCCTCCTCGGAGATGCCTGGAGGCAGTGGGGAGGGACTTCTTCCTGCAGTCAGCTCCCGCAGGCACTGACTTCCTCCTTCACTGTCCTCAGCCCTCAGCCTTCCCTGCCTCTGTCCCCACCCATCCCTACCTCTCTCTCCCTGTCTCGTTCTCTGCCTCTTCCTGTCTCTGCCTCTCGCTTTGTCTCTTCGTCTGCCTCATTCTTTCTCTCCCTTTTTTCCTCTCTCTCTTTCCCTCCCTCAATCTTTCTGTCTCTTCCTCTCTCTCTCTCTTTCTCCATTCCTCCCTCTCTCTCTTTCCCTCCCTCAATCTTTCTGTCTCTTCCTCTTTCCCTCTCCCTTCCTCTCTCTCTGTCTCTTCCTCCTTTTTTCTGTCTGTCTCTCATCTATCTATGTTTATCCCTTCATCTCTCTCTGTGTCTCGCTCCCTCTCTCTGTCTTCCTCTCTGCCTCTCTGTGCACACTTTCCATTTCCTGTCCATTTCCTCTCTGAGAGGGAGGGGCTTGCCCATCCTGGGAGGAGAGCCAGATTCCTGGTCCTGTCCTCACCTCCTGCATCCCCTGTGAAGGTGGGGGCACTCAGGACAGGGCTGCAGTCCCACTGTCAGCCCCGAGTGACTGAAGCCCGGGATCTCCCTCACTGGGCAGATACGGACCATGGGCTGCAGTGGGTCTGATGCTGAACTCAGGGCTCAGGGGCTTCTCCCCGCTCCCCAGGGCACCCCATCCTCTCAACATGGGTGTCCCCACAAAGCACATGTTCCTGGGAGGCTGGGAGAGGCAAAAGTCAGGACCTCCGGGCTTTGGTTGGCTGCAGGTCGGGGTGCAGGCCGCCAGCAACCACGGGGAGGGGGCATCTTTCCAGGTGGCCGTGCAGAGGGACATGGGCACAGGTCTGTCACTGTGGCCCCCTCCTGCAGCCGGGTGGGCATTTGGAGGGAGTACCAGGAGTGCTGTTCCCAGCTGTGACGGGTGGGCCATAGGAGTCTCAGGAACATGCCAAGTGAGAGGCACTCCTCCCGAGCCAGAGAACTTCGAGGGGCGGCTGCTTAGACGGGTCTCAGTGGTGGTTGCTCTGTCCCCGCCCTGGGTGTGACCCCTCCCGGGTGTGTGGGCAGGACCTGGTCCCCCACTTCCTGCTAATGAGTAGAATGTGGCATAAGTGGTGGGATGCTGCCTCTGAGAGTGGATGACAGAAAGACGCTGGCTCCCGTCTTGCTCCATGTGGGAGCTGCCCTTCGGAGAAGCCCATGAGCCGAGGAACCAAAGATGCCTCCCTCTGGCCAACATCCAGGAAGGAGTGGAGACCCTCAGCCCACAGCCCTCAAGGGACAGAGCCTCCGTCCAGCCAGCCCCAGCCCACGTGCGGATGGCAGCCTCGGAGAGACTCCACGCCAGAGAGGCTCCCGTCAAGCTGCGTCCTGGTTCCCAGCCACAGAAAGTGTGAAATAATAAATGTTGTTGTTTTAAGCTGCTAAATTTGGGGTAATTTGTTTCACAGGCATAAACTAATACAAGTACACTCCGTACTGTGCTATGAAATCATGCCCTATATTATATGGAATTCTAGAACAGGAAAAATCAATCTATGGTGGGAAAAAGCCCTCAGAATGGTGGTTCCTCCTGGGAGTAGGGGCAGGGTTAACTGAGGAGAGGCACAAGGAAGCTTCATGCTGGGATGATGGTGAGTGATGTCCATTCTGATGGGGTTTGGGTTACACAGATGTATGCATTTGTCAACATCCCGAAAATGTCTTTCAAGATTTGCAAATTTCCTCGTATGTAAATGTTACATCAGAAATAATAAACCCTGCAGCATTTGGAGGAAGCGTGCTGATGCCCTCAGTTTTCTTTGAAACACATTGAAAAATAAGATGCATTGCTGAGTGGAGAGCGGGATGGTTGGATGGATATATGATAAAGCAAGTATTA